AGTCTTAGCCAGAGGAGGTGTGGCTAGAGCTACTTAAACAGAAACAAATGTGCTTTATTTTTATTTTTATTTTTTGAAATTCTTTATTTTGTTGTGCATTGAATGAAAAACCATCAACGGATTCATTCGCTTTGCCATAACAGCAAAAGCGCACATTTCAAAAACATGAGAAAGCATATGTTGTTGGACGATTGGTATATATACTGCACATTTTTGGGGGGGTTTAAACATATATGCTACTGAGTACAGTAAGGAACAGGTAGTAGCGGAGATATGCATATAACTAGGTATATCGAGCATCATTGTAGTTAGACAGGAGGGACCTGTTGAGGTGTAGGGACGGGCCGTAATAGGGGATAATGTTGTGGTGATCTGGGGTTACTTTGTGAGTGATCACATGAATGACAACTTTTTTAAGGGTGGACAAACAGGCTGTCTGTTAGAAACAAATGTGCTTTAACTCCTAAATGGCAGTGAATTAAGCATTGAGACAGCAGGGGCATGATCTATAAACCAAAGCTGCTTCATTAAGCTAAAGCTGTTTTGGTGACTATAGTGTCCCTTTAAGCCACATTAGTTATTGTACAGTGAGCTGTAATTATAAACTTTTTCCAGGTCTCTGGAATATCCTTTTAATCCTTACAAAAAAAAAAAATCCCAATAGTATGTATTGGGAATTGCATGGAATTAGGATGAATATAAGCTGTGTTATACCTTTTAACTAGTAATACCTGTGTTTTTTTCCATTCTTAGTAACACGCCTTCTGTAAATGAACCTCACTGGAAAATGCAGAAGGTGGGGCTTGAGGATATGAAGTGAAAACAAAGTAGTATTGCCAGGATTTCTCGTCTCAAAAATATAATGTTAAACAATTTATATGGAGCCAGTGTTTTTTTTTCTTCGTTTTTTTTATGTGGACCTCTCATAGAAACATAGAATGTGATGGCAGATAAGAACCATTTGGCCCATCTAGTCTGCCCAATTTTCTAAATACTTTCATTAGTCCCTAGCATTATCCTATAGTTAGGATAGCCTAATATCTATCCCACGCATGCTTAAAGCGGCACTGTCATGGCCGAATCCTGTTTTATTTTTAACCCCCCTCCCACCTCCACTACATCTAACTGACCCCCTAGTCACCCCCTAAGCCCCCCATATTACCTATTTTTTAATCTTTATTTTCTGCCTCGATCTATATTCAGAGCGCCGCCATCTTTGTGTGGGTAGATGAAGTCCCTGTGGGACACGTCATCTGCCCACACTAGAGAGCACTGTGAGATTCCCGCACATGCCCAGTTAAACACTTGGGCATGCGAACGGGAATTTCATCTATTCATTCATTCATCAGAAAGATGAATGAATAGCATTGTCAGACGAACAAACAAACACTGAATATCAGTGTTCGTTTGTTCGTTCAGTTTATTACATGGAGGGAGCTACCGGCGCGCAGCTCCCTCCTTGTAAAATGTAAAGATAGAAGCGGCAGGGAGCAGTGCTCCCTGCCACTTCCTAAGCCCCTCAGGTCCCCCTTCACTCTATGGGGGTCAAAATCTCCCGAATGCCCCTGCTCGCTATACCGCCCCAAAAAAGGCCAAATAAAAAGCCATCATACCCGTCGAACTTAAAATAAAATAAAAAACCTGCGCGCAAAAAAAAAATCCCAACGCTAAAAAAATTAATCCATCTTCACCCATAGAGGGCTCCGCACAGACTGAGCAATTAGGCTAAGAACACTCTGATTGGTTGGTTTAAGCCAATCAGAGTGGTCTGTGTCATTTTACACTGCGTTTTCAAATGGTAAGTTTAATTTTTCTTTACATTTATTTGGGTGGGGGGGTTGACTAGGGGCTTGGGACCCCTAGTCACCTTGATTGGGGGGGGTGAATTTTCATTTAGGGCCCCCACCCGCCACTCAGGTGTGGGGACCAGGGGAGGAGGACAGTAGGTCCCCCCCACCATCCTTATATAGGGCCCCCACCCACCACGCAGGGCTGGGGGCCGGAGGGAGGACAGTAGGTCCCCCCCTTATTGTTTTTTTGGGCCCCCACCCACCACTCAGGGGTGGGGGATGGGGGGAGGACAGTAGGTCCCCACCATTCTTATATAGGGCCCCCACCCACCGCTCAAGGGTGGGGGCCGGGGGGGAGGACAATAAGTTCACCCCTCTTATTGTTTTTTAGGGCCCCCCACCCACCGCTTAGGGGTAGGGGCAGGGGGGGAGGACAGTAGGTTCCCCCCCACCATTCTTATAAAGGGCCCCCACCCACTGCTCAGGGGTGGGGGCCGGGGGGTTGGACAATAGGTCCCCCCATTGTGATTTATTGCCCCCACTCACCACGCAGGGGTGGGGGCCGGGGGGAGGACAGTAGGTCCCATCCCCTTATTGTTATTTAGGAGGGGGGGGTTAGTAGGTTTTTTTGTTTGTTTTTTTACAGTGAGCAGCTACTTAGTATTAGTAAATGTGGCTGAAAGACCAATTTAGGTCTTTCAGCCTTTCAGTAGATAACTCCCTGATACCGTGGGAATTAGGGAGTTATCTACTAAGCGGCTGCAAGATGCAGCCACGGCAATGAATAAGATCGGAGTTTCATTCATTCAAATGAAATTCCAATACGAACAAAGTCCTGAATTGCGTTCTAACACGAATGGAGAAACTGTTAGAATGCAATTCGGCAGTTTTGCCGGCGTCCTGTCTAAGTGACAGGAAGCATCGCGGGAACAGGGAGGAAAGGTAAGGATTGTGGGAAAATTGCTGTGACCACCGGAAACGAAGCACACTTTGTTCCTCCACTGGTCACTGGATTGTTAGGTGACAAGCTGCCCTTTGCCCTCGGCTGTTGGGGGAGCCTGATTGCCAGCCTCCGTCCTCATGACTATGGCCCTGGGGTGTATTGCCATTTAAAAAGACTATTTGGGGCTTATTGGCTTCTACTCTTTCTGCCCATTTGAATCCATGGGAAGGTGTGTTTCTTCCCCTCCCCCGTTTCCTGTCTATTGTTCTCCAGCAGGGCGTTGTCCCAGGCACACTGCCAAACCAGTTGGAACTGACTGCTTTTGTCCCTCGGTTTCTCAACAGCCCTTGCTATGCTTTGCCCGATGGCAAATTTACTCTGTTCATGGGATCTGAGCGCTGTTCACCTAGATTGGGCGCTCAGATCCGAGCTATCTGGGGATAGGTTAAATGTGGGGGTTCTGTGTAATATAATAAGAATTATGTATTTTTATATACTTTTACATATTTTTGCTGTTAGTGTAAAATGTAGATATTTTCTGTACCTGGAGATAATTGAGTTTACTGCAGTGCCTTAAGCCAATTATCTCCAGGATGGAGAGGAGGGATTTCATTGTGTATGTGAGGGTGTTATTATGTTAATTAGTGTTCCCATTGGTTTGTGTCCCTTTTGTCACAGTTTACCACCAGGTCCAGGGGGTGTGCCTCTGACCTGAAAACTTGTATATAAGGAGTAATAAACGCTCATTGGAGTCAGATCATCTTGTACCTTCATGAAGTTTTGGCTCATGTTTGGGGGATTGGAGAACTACACTCTGGGGATTGCTATAATCACTATACTCCCCAGGGTATGATCACTAAGCTCTGCTAAGAGCTTGTTCCTGTTCCTGCTCTCTGGAATTCAGAGAGGTCGACCTACTGGAAGCTGGACCCTGGTCTTGGGTCCAGAGTGGGTGGAGACGGCGAGACCCCAACCAAGCTGCGGCAGTTCGTGGGGTCTGCAGTGGTTATGGTTTCAGGTGGAGTGCTTGGAGACCTTGGAAAGCACTAGGAGCATCCGTCAGTGGAAGGTACCCGGTCGGGGTGCCAGCGGTTCCGTTACAGTCCCTACTTTTTCTTAAGTTTTAAAGAAAACTAGAGCAGACAGGAAGAAATGAATAACAGACCCAGAGAGAGGGAGAGAAGAGGAATCAATTGGGGAAAGGTAAGTTCGGCATGACAGTGCCACTTTAAACTCCTTTACTGTGTTAACCTCTACTATCAATGCAAATAAATGAATGGCAAGATTCATTGCACTTACTTGAAGTTTAGGTCCAAGCAGATCTTTAGACCTTGGGTTTCCATAGTCTACCAAAATAAGAAACTTAAATCCCAGAGGGTATTAACACTGCAGACATCCTAGACTGGAACAGTACATTTCAGCACTGCAAGAGCAAACTGAACATGCTGCTACCTCGCTGACCTTGTGATAAGTGATAATTCACTCCTGACAAATGTATACAGTGTAACTTTCCCAACTATACTTTCTGTAGCCTTTGCCAAGTCATGCACTTCTTTGCAATGGGCCCCAAATTTCCTTTCTCCTCCCACTGTGCCATATCCATAATGACTACCCCACTCATGGTCTCTCCAGTCCTTTTGTGAAGAATCTTTCCTTCCCATGTGCGGTTCTCCCTGTTTACTAACTGTTACTGTGCATCTGAATAGTTTGATCTGAGATGAGAGATATAAACTGCAGATCTGAAATAGTGTTGATGCCAATGTGCATCATGTCCTTTAGTGACCTTCTCTGGTCCATCCTGTAGGCACACACTAAGTTCCACCTTAGAGGTCTCTAACTGCCTGTGGTGGCATCCATGTCATAGATTGCACCAGAGACACATGAAACCACAGAAATACTGCTGCAATTATTACACAGGAGTGCCATGAATGTTAACACTTTACATGGAAATGAACAATGATAGTGTTGTCATACCTCATACCTGCCTGAGCCTTCGATTATGTGAGATTTCAGATAGCGGAAGGACAGGAAGGCAGAGCGATCCAACGCTGGAGCAGAGACTTTTGAGGTTAAACATTTTGTGAACTGTTTAACCCCTATAGCTGAGCCAGCACAAACATCCTAGTACCATAGCAATTTAATTTCGATTCAGATGTAATGGTACCCAAACTGGTCATTTAATAATAATGCTACCAAAAGTGCTTGGTTATTTAATATGTTACTGATATACTATACTTGTCTTCTAATATTACATCCAGTGCATGGCACCATTGTAGGAACGTATAAGATATTTACCTATAAATTTTTACATTGTCATTTTTTCTTTTCCAGTTGAATACATTTTGTAGAAATGGGCTCCATCGGAGTTATGTCCTATGGCATCCATGCCCAGCAGTGTGCCAATATATTGAAGTCGGGTGTGCACAGAGGGTCCTGCCGCAGCCTTCACATAACAGGGAGATATGCCGCAAAAGAATATTATGATGTGGTTGTAGTTGGAGGAGGAGCCGCTGGCATCACCATGAGCTCTCGGATGAAGAGGAAAGTAGGAGCTGGCAATGTTGCTGTTATAGAGCCAAGTGAGGTACAAACTGAATATTTATCAAAGCTCTACATCACATTATCAACATTATTATAATGTGTCTTCTGAAAAATCCATACAAACATAATATTCTATTCTATGCGTGGTGTTGTTAAACATGAGGAATATCTGCCATTTTACTTATTTTTTTAAATTCTTTATTTCGATACAAGCAGCCATGCAAAAGTTATACAAATCATTTATACACTGCAACAAAGAGATATCACTACTGTATGTGCAGCTTTCTTGTAATTTTAACTTTATGGTTGAACACAAAGAAAGATTACTTGTCTTTTCACTATATTTAGTTTAACCCCTTAATGACCAAACTTCTGGAATAAAAGGGAATCATGACATGTCACACATGTCATGTGTCCTTAAGGGGTTAAAGAGTTACGGCAACAACAACAAAAAACAATGTTTTAAGAAACCTCAAAAGGGGAAAAAAAGCTAAAAATTTGATTTTTTTTTTCCAGCTCCAGTGCCAAGTTGTCCGTCAGCCTGATCCTGTATGTACAGTGTGGCTGAATTATCTTTTTAGAGTGATCTCTAAAGTACACTGTAAAGAATATATATCTAATACGTGTGCCACATCTATAAGTGTACATAAAATATATAAAATGATAATATAACAAACAGGCAGCAAAGCTGCTAGCCCACTATAAAAGATGCTTGTACCCGAGTGTATTATGGAGGGTCATGCTTTGGGACTATATATTGGGATTTATTTTATTTCTTAATAATTCTGGAAATAGTGCTAACTGACAGACACAGCAAGCAATCCATCTCTAGATGTACTAACCATTAATGCACTGATTTGATCTCTATAGAAACACTATTACCAGCCCATGTGGACTCTGGTCGGTGGTGGTGCAAAACAGCTGGCAAGCTCTGAGCGTTCTACATCCAGTTTGATCCCGTCAGGAGTTAAATGGATCAAGTCAGAAGTAAAAGGCTTTGATCCTGATAAAAACTCTATTCGCATTGATGATGACAAAGAGGTATTTGTTTTTGTAAACAAAAAATCTATTGTTTTAATCTGCCCTCAAGAATCTCTGACTAGGGTCAGCTTTAAACTGTGAGCAGTAAATCTGGTTGTACCTCTGTTTGTAGTTTTTTTTTACCTGTGTATAACTAGAATTACTACCTGTGAATTATTACACATTAGAACAGCAACTGTTTGGCACCTACTGCCCTGGTGATAGACTTGGATAAATGAATTGAATCATTGTAACAATTCTCAGTATGTGCTTGAGAGGTGCTAAATACCTGCAGTAGATAAGTGAATAATTATGTAATTACTGAGAATGCCATAAGTAATTAAAGACTCCAGGGTTTTGAGACAGGCTGAGCCTGCTGACTGATTATACTTCTAGGAAGTTTTACCAGATATTGCCAGATAACAAGTTAGGGCCAGTCCATCGACTGCAAGACAGACGTAGAGCAAAATCAAGATTTTGTTTGGGGCACCTTTCCAATCTTTTTCAATGTACAGTAAGCATTCATCCTGTACATGTAATCACATAACCAGGGAGTAGGAGTTATTGTTAACACTGGAGTTATCACGTTTAAAACTCGTGAGTCTGTATCTTAACCCCTTAAAGACACATGACTTGTGTGACATCATGATTCCCTTTTATTTCATAAGTTTGGTACTTAAGGGGTTAAACCCGTTCTACCACACTCTAAAATACGTGATTAATGTTAAGGTGACACAACAGAACTCACATTAGGGTATATTAGAAAGTTTAAGCTAAAATACTTTTTTTTTTTTTTTTAAAACCTTTCTTTTTTTGTTTGTTTCTTAATTTATTTTCATATTTTCATTTTTTTTATTTATTTGAATTTGAAGAGCATCTATACTACTGTTTGGGGATCTCTGTACTTTAAGACAGAGGTCAAAGTACAGGCTGTAAACATATTCTAAAGATAGAAGCAGTTTAAAGGGCCAGTTGTTCCGCTTAATTGCTCAAGTGTCATCTTTTATTACAGAGTACTATCTCCTGTAATAAGCATCGTTAACAAGCATTGTATGAGAAGCACCTCCTCTGTATTCTTTTTTGTTTTTTATCCATTATTTCTAAAAAAAAAAAGCCAGCTATGGAGAATAGCTCTAAATGGCAGCTTTTAATTGTATAATAAACCTTTGAGTTCTTGCCTTTACTCTGTTCTTCATTTCTTTGAATAATTACGGTTGACAGGGTAAATCAGCAAGATTTCAAAGAATGTGTTAAGGTGTTTATTTACTAAACAGGGAATTGTGGTGAGTACGAAACTGAATTTACAAAATAGCCTTACATCGATATTCCCTACTGAGATCAAGGGAATTTCCTGCAAATCCTGATTTAGTTAAAAATATTTATAGCAAATATTAGAGTAATAGGTGTATGGGAAACATTTTTGAATTTGGCAATTTTGCCCATACACATTTAATTGCTATTTCTCCACATTTTGTGAATAAACCTCAAAATTTTGTCAAACAAAATGTTATCATATTTTACGAAATGTGTATCACATTCACACGCACTAAGCATATTTTTTACTTTCAGAGATATAATAACCAACTTTTGGCAGTGTGGAGGACCTTTGCCATGATGCTCTTGGTAAAAAGGCCAAAGTTAGGAAGTACCAGTTGTGTTTTCTGAAATGTTGTTTTAGAGCATGATAGCATAGCTATAGAGAGGGCCCACCGGCTATAGTGTTAAACATTGTATGCATTGCGAGGAAATGATTTGTGTGATTTATGTTTAACCAACCAAGCATTTAGTGGCACTTGACTCTAGAGATAATGTAATTACTCTGTTTGTCACATATAATAAAGCAGGAGATTGATGGTTAAGAAATGAACAGCATGTTGTTTCTTCATATTGAGACAGCCTTATCTCTAAAATATTAAAATCACTCTGTATTAGACATGTGCACAAGTTTGTTAATCCAAAAATGAATGAAATGTTTAGGACAGGATTTACCTGAGAATGTATATCTTCACAGGTAAATCCTGGACAAAGCGATTCATTCGGCATTAATTAAAAGTCACATGATTTGGACAAATTGTCCAGAACAATGTTTTTTAATAAAATACAAAACAAAGTAAAGAGCGCTGGAAAAAAACAGCGTTTTTAAAAGAATATTGTATGAGGCAGCCAACCTAGAGTAGGTTTCCCTCTAAGCCCTACTAGCAAGAATAATACAGAAGGTAAAAAGGGGAAGGTTGCGTCAAAGAAAAAAGCTAAATACTAAAATCATAAATTTAAAAAAGAGTCCAATAACAATGTCAGATTCACACCACAAAAATGCCAAAAAGAGAGAGAAACGTCCTAATACAAATCTTGCTGGAGGGATAATCTACAGTCTTTGGGAGGAATGTTCTCTGTGGGAGCCAAATGGGAACAACTTGTGGGATCCGTATGTGGAAACAAAGAAAGGATGATGGTGCAATACATCCAATAAAAATCAGATTATAGAAGCAACAGGGTCTAACGCCATCCTACTCATGTTTGGTATAAACCAGCTCTAATATGAATGGCATACAACGGTTCAATCCCAACTTATAGGATACGTGATGAAATGTAAATATCAGAGTAGTTTGTATACCATAAATGGGTAAAAAAAAAAAAAAAGGGAGACAACTAATAGTGCTCACTGTGTAAAATTTTTTGATAGAAGTATAAAAATAAAAGTGTGTTCTCGCATTTGGTTGAGCAGGCGGACTGCTCAGTGATTCAGGCGTGAGTCGTATAATCCCCACTTAGGATTTGTTGGAGTAATACTCAACTGGAATCATAAAATCCGGATACCAAACAGCAACAAAAACCTTTTTTTACCTCCACTTGAGAAAACCTCTATAGGTGAAGCGTGTTGTGGATATTTTAATATTGTGTTTAATAAAGGTACTTTGGCTACTTTTAACTACATTGATTGTGCAATTTTACTTTTTTATCACCTTTTGCTACTATTTTTATTTTTTTACTGTCGCTGCTTGGTAAACAGATTTTATGATTCCAATTGAGTATTACTCCAACAAATTCTAAGTGGGGATTATACGACTCACGCCTGATTCATTGAGTAGTCCGCCTGCTCAACCAAATGTGAGTACACACTTTAATATTTATACTCCTATCAAAAAATTTTACACAGTGAGCGCTATTAGTTGTCTCCTGTTTGTTTACCCTTTTATGGTCTACAAATTATTGCGATATTTACATCTCATCACGTATCCTATTAGTGGGGATTGTACCGCTGTATGCTTTTCGTACTAGGGCTGGTTTATAGCTCTATCAAACATGAGTAGGATTGCATTAGACCCTGTTGCTTCTATAATTCAATTTTTATTGGACGTATTGCACCATCATCCTTTCTTTGTTTCCACATACGGATCCCACAAGTTGTTCCCATTCGGCTCCCATAGAGAACATTCCTCCCAAAGACTGTAGATTATCCCTCCAGCAAGATTTGTATTAGGACCTTTCTCTCTCTTTTTGGCATTTTTGTGGTGTGAATCGTACATTGTTATTGGACTCTTTTTTTAAATATATAATTTTAGTACCGTATTTATCATTTTTCTTTGGCGCAACCTTCCCCTTTTTACGATTTTTTCTAATAGTCTACTCTGTATTAGCCTGTGACAGACCTTTACTATCACTGCTCAATTTCATACAGTTCGCACCCAAAACATTGTTTTATGACACTCAAGTTGCACAAAACATTCCCGAGTAGCAGATAGTGGCTCTGTCACCTGGTGATGGTGGATTCAGGCAAAATGTGCTGCAGGCCCATATTTTTTTTAATTTTTAATTCTTTATTTTATTCGTACACAGCTTAGACATGTAGGAATGCACTGCCACAACTGCAGGTTCCTTTGCAGCGTTAAACATTGTATAGTAGTTGTGTGGCATGAAAAATAGTGTACAGTTTTTAGTTATGTAGAAAGACATGGTGTAGCATTAATCATTGTATAGTAGCTGTGCAGCATGAAAAACAGTGTATTTTTTAGTTATTTAGAGAGACATGGTTGCATACACAGCCTTTGTGTCTTAGTTTAGAATAGTTGTTTACTCGCTATTTGGTCATGTCTAGACCTTGTTTTTGCGTTGCTTGTCCTCGCTCTACTAACTTGACATGAAAATGGTTATGCTACTTCTAGCTTTAAATGAGCATGAAACCAAAGCGAACACGTGGTAACAACAATGAGTTTAAACATGTGAAAATAAAGAGTCTATTTTGTCGAGAAACTGGGAAAATAATAGAAGATACCTGAACCGATGCTGAGCCTAACAAGTGTCTGTCAATTGGCCTTTGTTTCGCTTGAGTCAGCCTATGTTGGGTGAACTGGTGTCCTGCACTAATGCCTAGTGTGTGTGAGGTATATAAAAATTATGGCAACTTATTTGTAAGCTGTAGCGGTGTCAACTCTTAGACCAGATTAAGCAATATACCCAACAGAATCTCCTTATGGTATTCATGAGCAGGGTGCCCTGGTTTACCAGGCTTGCATATCAGCAGCTAGAGTCCCGTTCCTATAGTTCAGGAATGCGGAATGCGGTGGGCGCCTTAGCCTATGCCTCTAACTGTAATGACTCGATTCTCGTTGGCATAGATCTTGTCGGTGGGGCCTCTTGGCTTGAATCCAGCTTCTGTATTGTGCGGCAAGCTTCCTTCCGCCATGCCCTCGGGGCGTAGATTTGTGCCCTTCTGGTCTGGACCTCTGCGTTTAAGTAAGTGGTGTGGTTGTAGGGGATATTCGTTGGCCCGGCTCCAGCTTGTGTAGGGGCGAGTATATGCGCTTGGGTGGTATGATGTCACCTGCGTGGCGGGTTTTGGCGCCGGCGCGGCCGCGTGGTCACTGTGAAGGCCTGGAGTGGATACCTGTAATGGCGCCGGAAAGTTCTTGGGCGGACCCACGAGGTGACCATTGTGGCTGCTCGGTGGTGCGGCATGCCGCGGTGGCGAAGTATGGACCAGAGGTCCAATCAGAGTGAATCAAAGGTGTCCATGGGGTGAGTGTATGAATGAGGGCTTGTGCCCGTTGTCCCTGGCCCTTGCTGAGCGGCCATCTTTGGTGTGCCTCGGATTGTCAGTGACTCTGCAGGCGGTGCGGCTGGGGAACTCATCTGCAGTTTCAGTTTTTGTGTCCTGTGGGGACCGGGATAACCCCCACCAGCCCGGGGTGGGGGGATCAGAGACCAGCTATGTCACCTAGGGGGTCCAGTGTCGGAGAGAGCGGCTTCCTCTTCACAACTCCCACAGGCTGCGCTTAGTGACCCGCTTTTCTGGCTCAGACGGGCGTGTATGAGGTATCGCTAGATTCAGGAGAGCACCCCCGACATGGGTGATGCACCATGGTAGGTCCTTGGGCTGTTAAGCCGTTGATTGTGCCCTGATGTTAGCCCATTTAGCAGGAGCTTGAGGGAAGGAAGGGGTTAATCCCTTATCTTTTTTCCAGCGCTGGGCTCCCTCGGCGCTGGGACTCTCCTACCTCTTCTGACGTCCCTGGCTGAAGAGCCACGCGCGCATTCAGCCAGTCTCATAGGAAAGCATTCTCAATGTGTCTTCTTACTGTGAAAATCACAGTGAGAAGCGCGGAAGCGCCTCTAGCGGCTGTCAATGAGACAACCACTAGAGGCTGGATTAACCCATTTGTAAACTTTGTTTACAGCAAAAAGGGTTAAACCTAGCTGGACCTGGCACCCAGACCACTTCATTAAGCTGAAGTGGTCTGGGTGCCTATAGTGGTCCTCTAAGCAGTCAGGCTCCGCCCCCTCTGCAGGCCCATATTTAACTGCATTGGCTCTCCACCTAGGAGAAGTACAGGACATTACACCCCATAAGTACTGCAGCAGCACTCAGCATATGGGTAATACAAACAAACCTCTCTGCTGAGCATCCTGGCAAAAATGTGTTCTGGATGTGGCATGCCTACTGTTTGCATACACATAAATGAAGACACAGAGGACAATTTCATCTTGTTTTTGAGTGTCACTGGGCAGCGATGGCACAACCCTTGAGTATTCCAATGCGTAACAGTAAGAACACAGTGCCCGGATAAGACAAACATGGTTTGGTTTAGTGAATGATACATTGCTACATTAAGAGTAGGAATAATATGTGGTCATTTTTAGAGGATGTGATAGGAGCATGTTGACAGTTTTATGCCTGTAGGGGAGGGGAACCTCAATGCCACAAAACTATAGCATCTCTATAAATGAGGCATCCTCAGCGGACACATGGAATATTGTGTTTAAAAAATATTAAGACATAAAACCCAAAGGGTATTTGTTGATTTTTGCCAGTTTGCCCATTGGACATGTAGAAATAATTACGTAAAAATAAACCTGCATAAATATATAAAATTTAAAATGATCAGTTATCAGCAGTTTTGACCGTTTGCCTTTTGTGCCGTCTAATATATTGAATATGTCTGAATTAGTTTCATACTTAAAATAATAAAAAATTTAAAAAATTTAATTGGGCAGAGCCCTCTTCACCTAGTATGCCATATGTTTACCTGTTGTACAGCGCTGTGGAATATGTTGGCACTATATAAATAATTATAGTTGTAAGAATATATATTTTTGTATTTATTCTGACATTACAATGTAAAAATGTGTTACACTGGCAAATTGCACTTCTTGATAAACACCTGCAGGATTGAGCAGTGAGGCTGCAGGGGCATGTTCTATACACCAAAACTGCTTCATTAAGCTAAAGTTGTTCAGGTGACTATAGTGTCCCTTTAAGATAAGAAGTATATCAAGGATTAAGGATTTTAAAGGATTTGACTCGTTGTCTCTAGGACAATAATCCAACCTTATGTAAAGCATTGACCTCTTGGTTTAAACAGACGTCACCAGGCCCGGACTGGCCATCGGGCATACCGGGCAAATGCCCGGTGGGCCGCGATGGCCGTGGGGCCGAGGCCGGCAGGGAGATCACAGGATCTCCCCGGCCGGCTCCTGCAGGGCCAGCGCTACCCGAGCGCCGGCCCCGCTGTGTGCCTCCATGGGCCGGTGGGGAGATCAAAGATCTCCCTTTACCGGCCCAGAGACACTTCCAGGCGGCCGCTTGCTGGGGTGTGAGGGAGGGAGGGAGGAGAGGACCGGCGGAGCTCTAACAAGCAGCTCCGCCGGGTCCTCTCGCGGGATTCTGAGCGTTGCCGCGGTTACCGCGGCAACGCTCAGATCTCGCGAGAGTGAACTCTAGCCTACAGGCTAGAGTTCACGCTCACCACTAGGACCACCAGGGATCAGGCAGCATGGCTCTCCCATGGCAGAACGGCTCCCCCCCTCCCAGGCAAAACGGCCCCCCCCTCCCAGGCTAAAGGTAAGAAGGGAGGGGGGGGATATAACTTTTTTTTAAAATTATTATTATTAATTTTAAAAAAAATCACACTCACACACATCACCCCCAGACACACACACAGCACCCAGACACACACACAGCACCCCCAGACACACAACACCCAGACACACACAGTACCCAGACACACACAGCACCCCCAGACACACAACACCCAGACACACACACAGCACCCAGACACACACACAGCACCCAGACACACACACAGCACCCCCAGACACACACCCCCCAGACACACAACACCCAGACACACACAGTACCCAGACACACACATCACCCCCAGACACACAACACCCAGACACACACAGTACCCAGACACACACAGCACCCCCAGACACACACAGCGCACTCAGGCACACAGCACCCTCGCTCACACACACACACACACACATATATATATATATATATATATATAAAATAACTCTCAGTGAGTTAACAGACAAAGAAAATTAGAATGTGACGGCAGATAAAAACACCCTCACACACAGCACCCCTCTTACATACACACACACTGCGCCCCTCACACATACAATACGTCCAAATATATATATGTATGTATATATATATATATATATACACACACACACACACACACACACACTACAGCACTACATACATTACGCTCCAGATACACGCTAGATCCCTTACCTTATATGCACTCTTAATCCTCTATACACACACACACACAATCTCCTATACACACTCTCGGTCCTTTACACACTAGATCTCCTACACACACACTGCACCACCTACACACACACTACATTCCTTGTCAGCAAACACATACAACATTCTCTAAACACACCCTCTCTACAACCCCTACACACACTAAGTCACCTATACACACACACTACAGCCATATGCACACACTCGCTACATCCCCTATAACACTATGCCACCTATACACACACTCTCTACAGCCCCTAGCCACACATATTACACCACAAACACATATGAAATTGACCTATTTACACAATACCACACCACACTCTACACACACGCAATCCCACAAGCAGGCTCCAAACACATGCACCATACACTTTCCTGGCCCTTTTGTCCTCTGGTATCCCACTTGTTGAGACACCAGAGACAATTTAAAAGCAAACACAGCGCAAGCATGTTATTAGATTTGCTTGCGCTGCGCAGAACAAATACAGGGCCATTTTCTAATGCCAGAGCTCTTCAGCGCAGCTCTGCGCATTGAACCAACATGCTCACTTTGAGAGGAGGCGTGCTTGTCATTAGTGATGACAAAACACACCCTCTCTGGCCCCGCCCTCTTCTTAGGGGGCCGCTCTGATTGAAAAATGCCCGGGCCTAATTTTTTCCCCAGTCCGGCCCTGGACGTCACAGTAGAAAACCAAGGTTGGATTATTGTCCTAGAGACAACCAGTCAAATCCTTTAAAATCCTTAATCCTTGATATACTTCTTATCTTAAAGGGACACTATAGTCACCTGAACAACTTTAGCTTAATGAAGCAGTTTTGGTGTATAGAACATGCCCCTGCAGCCTCACTGCTCAATCCTCTGCCATTTAGGAGTTAAATCCCTTTCTTTATGAACCCTAGTCACACCTCCCTGCATGTGACTTGCACAGCCTTCCATAAACACTTCCTGTAAAAGAGCCCTATTTAGGCTTTCTTTATTGCAAGTTCTGTTTAATTAAGATTTTCTTATCCCCTGCTATGCTAATAGCTTGCTAGACCCTGCAAGAGCCTCCTGTATGTGATTAAAGTTCAATTTAGAGATTGAGATACAATTATTTAAGGTAAATTGCATCTGTTTGAAAGTGAAACCAGTTTTTTTTTTTCATGCAGGCTCTGTCAATCATAGCCAGGGGAGGTGTGGCTAGGGCTGCATAAACGGAAACAAAGTGATTTAACTCCTAAATGGCAGTGAATTGAGCAGTTAAATTGCAGGGGAATGATCTATACACTAAAACTGCTTTACTGAGCTAAAGTAATTTAGGTGACTATAGTGTTCCTTTAACCCAAGGCAGTAAAAGAAAAACAACTAGTTTAACTGCTACTACAAGCTTGATTTAATGCTGTAAAATAATATCATATAAAGCATTTGGCACCTACCTCCTAATGACCCTTACTCTCTGATGTAAGCATTTTAACGTCACACAACCATTTATATAGGTTGGTTTAATCCCTTAAGGACCAAGCTTCTGGAATAAAAGGGAATCATGACATGTCATGTGTCCTTAAGGGGTTGAAGACAACAGAGCTAAATGCTTGATTTTGCAGTGGATTTTTTTAAAGACAGCAAAACTTAAAAAAAATAACTTTATGACGTCAATTACATCTCTACATTGTTCCATTCAAATATATAGATTTCATTTTATACTTAATGTATTATATTTTTTTGTCTAATTTGACCTCACCCTATGTGCTGGCATCCTTCATAATAATTATACGTGGCTTTTCTTAATTTTTTTCTTCCTGGTGAGGTTTAAAATTTGAATTTTAGTACGTAAATCTCACCTTTTCTTTTTTTTTTAATTCTTTATTTTTTCATCTTGGCAATGGTAGTCAGGTAACATTAACGTGACGGCTTGTGCAAAAGCCTGATAAATAGTAAACAAGTTCAATTGTATTTATACATGTGCTAATATAATGCATAGACAGTAAGTTATGGTACCGATAAGCTAATTAAAAAAAAAAATCTCACCTTTTCTTGTGCAATATGATTGTATAACTGATTAGAGACTTCACATGTCTGAATCAAACTGTTCTATGTACACTCCTAACCCTATGAAACAATAAATGTATTTTTGACATTTTGTTAACTTTCTTCCTTTTTTGTTCTTTTCTATTGCAGATAAGCTATAAATACTTAATCATTGCTCTCGGTATCAAATTGCAGTTCGAAAAGGTAAGATATTTTTTCTTTGATTTCACTCATACAGTTAAACAATCTGAGGTTTGCAAAGATTTAAAACACTTTTAACTATGGATAACTAAAGTTAAACGTCTGGCAACCAAATTGCATTAAATGGACACTATGCAACCAGTGTCAGTGAAGAGGCCTGGGTGCTATGTCCCTATAGTTTTGTCTGTGCAGAACAACAATATTTATATTGTAGGGTAAATGCTCTATTGGCTATCACTCAGACAGCCACTGGAGGTGCGTCTGATGAAATTGCAGAGTAAAACTCTGCGTCAATCCGATGGTGTCAGAGAAACCGTCTGAGTGGCACAGTGTGGCATTTTGACGCACATGCGCACTAGCCTCCCAATGTTTTCCTTAGCCAACGCGTTGGGCCAGTCATGGAGAGTGCATCTTGACTTGGGAGAAAAGGTAAGTAAAATAGTTTTTACTCCTTATGGGGGCAGTCGTATAAATAGTGACTAGGGCTCTATAGTGTTAAGAATACCCATTTATATTTCTAATGCTGTAGTGTTCCTTTAAGCCATGAAAAAAATGCAGAATTACTGCAGTATGTTCTTTGTTTCCAAGAGGAAAATATATCGAAATCCTGTATGCACCATCCAAGAGGAAAATATATTAGAAATAATGTATGCACCATCACAATGCAGTTTAGAAACTGTCTATACTTTGTGCTGACCATATTCTAACCATATTCTAGCAGTAGACTAGACCCTGAACATCATTAAAGAGTTTAAGGGCACACAGACCACTGCATCTATAGGAACAGCAATGTCTACATTACAGGGTTAAAATGCCTCGAGTGGTTGTCACTCTGACAGCCACCAGAGGCACTTCCTCTGAAGTAGCTGAGTAACACTCGGCTATTTCAATAAAATGGTTTCATAGAGACCATCTGAATGTTGCAGCGGTTTGCTGCGAATGTGCAATAGTCTCCCAATTCTTTCCTATGGTAAAGCATTGGATTGACTGAGATCATCTACACTGACTCACCCTTCCAACTCTCATAAGGCAGGGTTGACTCTAGTATAGATAGATTATAACTATATGGTAAGGAATACATGTTTGTATCCATAATGCTATAGTGTTCCTTTAAGGGAGCTTCTCGGCAAATCACAGACTCTGATTTACTGCTGATATCTCATGCTCTCTTTTTTATCATTTACTTGTATTTAGGTTTTGAATGACATTAACAGAACACTATCGTGTTAGGAATACAAACAACATATCTACAAAATGTTTTACATTGCAGGACTAAAAAGACAGGACCATTGTACCCGAACACTTAATTGAGATTAAGTGGTCTGGATGTCTAAAGTGGGCCTTTAACCTACCTGCATTGTTTTCTTATGGATATTCATTAATGATATTGTTTCATTACTCTCTCGGGTCACTGATCCTGTTTAAGAGTCTGTAAAGACAGGACGTACCTGGACGTTTGGTCGGATGAGACATTTTGATTTTGTTTTTAGAGAGCACACTGTATTCCTCATAAATTCTGATCACTTTGGTCACATTGATACAGAAAGAAACCTGGGAGAAGTGAAGATTGTGGTGGGTTTGCAAGCATGTGCCCCAATCTTCTTGATGACATTGGAAAAGAAGGAGCTTAAATTAATTTTGATTTTGAAATTTTGCCTTAATATTAGGGGCCTTGAGCTTTTCTATTACTTTAATATTTTTAGATCACTATTTCAGGCAGTCCAATCTCGATTTCATATTGCAAATCAGTAGCAATAATCATAGTCTTTTAATTAAAAAGCTATAATTTCCTGCTGGAAGATAATTGTCAGCACTGTATGCAATGCCATCTAGGTTACACATGGCAAATTCCCAGAGCTCCTTGCCTTAATGACGCATGTGAGATTATCAGACAAAAGGATACATGAATCATATCAGCTTTATAACAAACATCATAACTCCTGGAGAACAAATGGCAGACTGTGTCCTAAAACTCTGTTATCAGTTTGACAGATGCTAAAAAAAAAAAAAAACCTCACACTTCTCATAAATGTCTACTCTGGGCAATTATTCCTATTTATTCCTATTCCTTAGGATATGTGTGCTTGATTTTATTAGATTTTTGTGTTAGTTACCACACAACATGTCTTTATTTGTTTTTGAGGTCTGAAAAATAAATGTAATGTGGAAATCCACTATACTTTATTTCCCTCAAGCCTGGAACAGAGTACCTCCATTTTGGCTCCCTGTCAAATATTGTTATAAGCGCTGTCCTTTCCTGTAATTAAAAAAAACAGAATGTGCCCCTGCCAGCCAGCAGTTAGAGAGAAGAGGTGAAGCAATGTTTTTATTTATCCTACTTTAATGCACTGTGTTCCTTGTCTGCTCCAGGACTAAACTGCATTCTATTGCCAAGTGCAAAATCTTTAACATAAATTTAAAAGACAACGAAACATCACACAAAAAAAAGGTTTTAACGAAATAAAACAAATTTCAATGTTTTTGTTTTATTGGGTGTTGTAATTTCCAGGAAAGAGACAGTCCTCCTTTAGCCGTAAAGTTATCCCAAGCATTAATGATGAATGTCATGGAGCTACTTCCTTAGTTTTTGCCAGAGTTTTTGATATGGTTAACAATAATATTCCACTAGATAAATCCAGCAAGCGATGCTATTAATTATTTACTAATCTAGTTCTGTCCCATCTTATCAGCCAGAACTCACTATGTTTGGCAATTGTTCTCTTCCTTTAAGGCAGCTCTGTCACTGTCTTAGTATAATTTGCAATGATCCCTGACGGTGACTGCCCCTGTGGTGGCCCAGGTGGTGCAGTGGAAGCTGAGTTTTACTTACCTAAAGTCGTCGCTCATAGCTACTGCTGTGGTCTTCCTCCCAGTCCTCTTTAGCTCTTGGCACTCCAGCGGTCAGGAGCCCACATCAGTGTTGCACTCTCGCGCATGCATGTCTATGAAGTCTATGGAGGATCCCGCGAGATTGCCTTATCCTCCGTAGACAAAACCTTTTCCCTACATTTTATCGTTGTGCACTATTCATTTTGGAGGGGGGGAACAACACTGCTGCCTTAAGTTTCCAATAGGGTCTTCCAAGGTTTTATTGTAGAACCCCTCTCAAAATCATTATTTTGAAACAGCAGTCACAGTTTTCCGTGGTTAAATGATCCAACATTATGTGTAGACTGCATCATAACCTACATTAAGAAACAAAATGTATCACAACCAGCAGGTGTATGGCAGGTTTAATTCTCAGAAATGTAATGATGGATCACTAAAACAAACTGATCTTAAATATTCACAAAAAAAGATCAGCTGATATTTAGAATAAAGTAAAGAGAAATCATACTTAACAATTTAGAATAAAAATGACACCATTATGATTTGAGCCAGGAAATCCTATAAATTTCTTGTGTGAAATTAAACCTTCCACAGGCGTTCGTACTGGTGAATGATCATATAAACCTTATCCCGAAATAATATATTATTTTAGAGAGAAATCTAGCTTAATTCCCCTGCTTAATACACTGCAGGGTGCCTCAAATCTCAATTAAAGTAATAAAATATATGAATTATCCAACTAAAATCAACCTCAATAAAACAGTTTTTTTGACTGTATTTTGCCGCTTTAGTTTCCATAGTAATTACCCAACTTACTAGGGTTTATCCAATAAACAGCAAATTGCGATTAACTGAAAATCAAATTGCTTAATTCAGGTTAACGTAGCCTGTCACTATATAGCTAAGATAGAAACTTTTTCCAAAGCTGATATATTTGGCTAAACTTATCAGCTTGGTTTTAATTACAGTACCAATTGCTGTTCAGTGAATAAGGTCCAGAATGGTGATATTTTAAAATAAACTGCTGATACTCAGATCCAGACATAAGACCTTCTTTAAAAAAGTAAACGTTACTGCAGAAAGTATAAAACCCTAGGAATCTGCAATTATTATTATTATTATTATTATGTTATTTATATAGCGCCATCAAATTGCGCAGCGCTTTACAATGGGTGGACGAACAGACATGTAGTTGTAACCAGAGAAGTTGGACACACAGGAACAGAGGGGTTGAGGGCCTGCTCAATGAGTTTACATGCTAGAATGAGTGGGGTAAAGTGACACAAAAAGGTAAGGATAGTATTAGACTAGTGACAGTTGCAGAAGAGGAATCAGTCAGGAGCTATTAACAGTTTCATTGATACGCTTTTATTAAGAAGTGGGTTTTTCACGATTTTTTTAAGGAATACATGAACTTCAAATGTAGCTCTCATTTTGTACTTTAGTTTATCTACTTGCCTTTTTAATGCGTAATTAACTTGGCACATTAAAACAAGGGGCTTAAAAGCCTGATATGTAAATACTTGAAAGATCCACTAGGTGGAAGTATGCTCACAATTTATCCTTCATGTCTTGGCCATCAGTACAAGTTACAAATAACCATTTCAAAAAATAGTTATTCTTGATTGTGTGTTGATCTATAATTCATTCTTAAAACCCACCTTTAAGACAGTATTCATTCTGAAGGCATAACTGATATATTTTCTACTGTGTATACTACTGCAAGTAAGCAATGGAAAATGGGCTTAATATATTCTTTTAATTCAAAATATTAGTGTCATTTTACGAGCCATAAAATATTATTTTACTGTTATTTATACTTTCCTTACTAGCCCCACATTTTAGAAAATCTAAAAAATACTATGTATCATCTGCCAGACATGGAGTCTAAAAGTTGATTGGACATTTCGGTAACACAGGCTAGGGTGGGTATAAATTATTGTCATATACAGATTAGCCAATTTTGTGTTGATACATTTAAATGAAGTTACATTTACATATGTTTAACAGTTGTAGGAAAAAGTTGACTTTATGAGCTACAGAGTGTACAGAATTTGGCCATGAGTTTATATTATATGTGTTCTGTTCTGTTTTTCTTGTAGGTTAAAGGTTTGCCGGAAGGTTTTCAGTATCCCAAAATCGGTTCCAACTACTCTGTAAAATATGTGGAGAAGACGTGGAAAGCTCTGCAGGATTTTAAAAAGGGAAATGCCATATTTACCTTTCCAAATACTCCAGTGAAATGCGCAGGGGCACCCCAAAAAATCATGTACTTGTCAGAGGCTTATCTCAGGAAAGTAAGTTCCCAATACTGACTGTGTATTGTGGTGATCAGGAGGTTTATCAAGATTTTATATGCATCATAGCATGGATGTTTTATTTGGTGAGAGAACAAACCTCAGACTTTGTAAAGAGTCTCTACAAACACCATATCAATTTATTTTTTATTGCATGTGATATAGTACAAAGAGATCCCATGTTTCTAGGCCCCGACTGGCATCTGGAAACACAGGCAAATGCCTGGTCTACGATGTCTCCATGGCCTGAGGCAGACTGGGGTGATCAAATGAACTTCCCTACTGGCCCAGACAGGATCAAAATTATTGGGGCAGCATGCAGCATCCCAAAGAGGGTACTCTATGGACAAATGGGAGATCAAAGATCTTTACACTTTAATATTGGAATCCCTGGGAGTATGTCTAAACTGCTCATGCACTGTGAGCCACTCAGTGTGTTGCCATCAAGCTACCTACTGGAGATGTAAACCACTTGCTTTGCCCACCAGTCCACTGTGGAACAGATTCCAATTCCCCTCTTTCTGGACAAAGGTAGCAAGAAGGAAGGGGAAATCTTTTTTTCTTTTTCTCTCTTAAAGGGACGCTATAACATTAGGAATATCAAACTGTATTACTAACCCTATAGTATCCCTGTCCCTATCCTAATGCAAATGCTTGGCGAGCGTCACACGCATAATAGAGCTTCACTATAGGAAAACAGTGAATCAGTGCTTTCCTATAGGGACTTGGTATACCTTAGCATGAGGATGTCCCACGTCAATTCTCGGAATTAGACTCCCTTAGAAACCAAGTGTCTCTAGTGGAAGACAGAAATATAACAAATATGTGCACAATGTGGAAGACAGTTAATATGAAACTCTAGTGGAAGACACCTACCAGTGGTTGTCTTAACCCTGCAATGTGAACATTGCCATTTCTCTGAAACCCAGACCACTTCAGTTAGATAAAGTGGTACCTATAGTGTCCCTTTAATAATAGTTTTTGTTTGATTTAACCTCCCTAGCCCCAGTTCAAGAACAAACTCCAAACATCCTCCACCACACTCACTACAAACAGACCCCTTCACACACAACTAACAACCTATCTACAAACAGACACACACTACAAACAACCCTATCTACACACACTATACAGACAGTCCCTATACACAGACACACTACAAACACTACAAGCCCCCTTTCACACACACACTACAGCCAGACCCTACCAACACACACTACACACCGTCCTTGTCTAAATAGTTACTACAAACAGCCGTCACACATATGCAACACTCTAGAGAGCCTTCCCACACTTGAGCAACAACGCACTTTGGCTCCTTTGCAATTCTGCTCTCTCTTGCCCCATTGATGAGGAGACCAAAGACAAGTCACCAGGAAATGCAGCAATAAGCATGTCATTGAATATGCTTACCCTACTGAAATCAGGAAAGTAACCTGTGCAAGAGCACTTTAGCAGGTCTGTCTCTACAATTCACACTTTAGTAAATAACCTTGTTTGAGTGTTAGAATGCTTTCTCACCAAAAATTACAAGAGATTATAAAGAAACTTGCTATATCCCAAGATTCTCTATAGATAGTTAATACTGAAGGGACATTACTTGCATAGCCTACACTTTGCTGTAATCATTTTTATGTTACATGTTTTTGTGTGTGTGTGTGTGTGTGTACCTATGGGGGCCATTTTATTATCATTATTATTGGCATTTATATTTCGCCATCTTAATCCGCCACGCTTTTACAATTTTACGAAAAGGGGGATATTTAACATTAAATGAGACAATTAGAAATTGTTACAGGAAAAATAGGTTGCCGAGGACCCTGCTTGAATAAGCTTACAATCTAGAGGAAGTGGGGTATAAAAACCACAAAAGGAAGAGCAGTGTAGAGGGCAACAACCAAGCAACAGAGTGGGAGAGTAGCAGAAATGGAGTGTGAGAGTGGAGTGTGGCCCTTTGAAACAGGTTTTTAAAATAAAAATAACTATGGGGGGACTTTGGTAGAGTCTGTTTTTTTATATTTGTCCATTACGTGTTCTAATGGACGGTGTGCAGTCATAAACAGTCATTATATTCAAATGTCATTTAGGTCCAACAACACCAGATCACAGATACCTGGCTTCTAGACTAGTAATGTATTATATTATATCTCAATCAATGATTAAAGCATATGTTGGAAATGTGAATTATAAAGGATTTTTTTTTTTTTAAATCGTATTTTATCCAAGAGATAGTAAAGATCAGAATGAGCATGCAGACTCTGAAAAAGTATAACCACAATATGGCAGTAGATACCGGTTACATAAAATCAAATGTGAAACTTTGAGAATATACAGTTAAGGTGTAAAAAGACTTAGCAACAATGGGGGCTGTAGTACATCCAGATGCAGATCTATCAACCTAAAGCGGTGGAATTTGAGAAAGAGGATTCCTTCGTTCAGGCCGTGCTCACCGTATAATCAAGGCATGTCTGAAATATTGCCTACTTAGTGTAGGGTCAACAGTTACTGGTTCTAAATAATGTAGGACTGTACCACCTATTATTGTGATCCGTGGAGGTTGTGTATTCCAGATCAAGGGTCTCTGACTAGTGAGCTAGTATGCACCCGTAGTGTAGCCACGTCTTCCACCGCACACGGATATGCATTTCGGGAGAGCCTGTGTCTAAGTCTGGTTCAGTTATGGGAGGTTGCCCCTAGAAGAAAAAAGGCAGTGGATGTGAGTGGATATAGGAGGATAGAAATACAGAGAAATGAGAGGGGGAGGATAAGAAGCAGTAGGATTAGGTGGGTCAGGGTTATGGAGAGGGGGAAGGGAACCGTAAGTCATCGTCTACAGGCCCCGTTGTAAAGCGACCCGCCAGCAGCATCGTCAGCGCCAGTACTCATCTTGTCTGCTATATACATAAACCAGGGCAGCCAGCGCTCCGCGTGTTTGTCACCCAAGCCCAGTAATGCGGCCTGGGTTGCTTCCGAAGCCTGAATGTCCTCCACTTGTCCAACTACTGTTCCCTGTTGGGGGCAATTGTTTGTTTCCATAGGACAGGTATCATTGATTTTGCCGTGTTGAGGAGGTGCCTAGTGATTGTTTTTTTTGTATGTTGAAATCGGTGCTGGGGTAAGGTGCAGCGGTGCTAGTTCAGCAGTAAGTTTTTTGTGGTTCTCTACAGAAGTTGGACAAATTGTCCTGTACCATATCCCAGAAAGGTACGATTTTGGAGCAGCTCCAGCAGATATGTTCGATCGTCCCTTCGCCTAGACCACATCTCCAGCATATAGGAGATACATCGGGAAATATCCGATGAATGAGGATATTATTATTATTGCCATTTATATTAGGATAGGTGATACCAGAAAGATAATAGTTTGCAATTAGTTTCTTGATGTCTGGAGCTGATTGAAAATGAATTATTATTATTATTATTGTCATTTATATAGTTCAAACATATTCTGCAGTGCTTTACAGTATTATTCATTCTATTAATGTATTATGACCTGGTCAATGGTTAATACAGCAGTCGGAAATATTTATTTTATTTCTTACATTGCAGTATTAATTAGCATTATAGTATTTCTTAGTATTAAAATAATATAATCAAACATTCTTATTAGAGTGCCTTTTATGTAACTGTCATGTCTCAGTACAGATGTAGAGACCATACTGTGCCTCACCACATAAGAAGTTTAAGGAGCAATACAGTTTTTTGGAAAATAAAATGTATCCACTACGGTATGATGTTAGCATTCCAGGAGATACTTGTTAAAAAAAAATCTCCTAAATTCTGGAATCACTGACAATAGCCTATCAACCTTTTCCTGAATTTTATCAGTACTTCTACTTTTACATGTGGATTGTCCCATTTACCTTCATGAGGAACACATATATAGCCAATAAAATCCTAAGTTTGTGTCCAGTCACCCTTGGGTGAACAAAATCCAGCACATGCACCCGGTACAAGTAGAAATCACTGACGTCCATTAAATGAAAATGTCCCAACTTCCTCTGTGACCCTATAACCTTATTGTGTTATTCTCCACTGTGAATAGCAACTCAGGTTACCCTTGTTACAATCCTGTTTGTTGTCCCTTAGAAAGATCATATCTCAGACCTCACCTGCTATTGTCCTGAGACATATTGTGTTGAGGAGGGCCATCTGTTGAATTTTAGTCTGGGCAACTGATTTAGTCAGGACAAGTCCAGCAAGAGAAGACCAATTATTTTGCAACTTGACCCCTTCTTGGCCATCGACTAGCCTTGGGATTCAATTAAATATAACTAATAAACATTGGTTTTGTTTTTTTCCCATAGACAGGAAAGCGATCAGATGCCAATATCATATTTAACACATCCCTGGGAGTCATCTTTGGTGTTAAGAAATACGCGGATGCTCTGCTGGATATCATCAGGGAACGAAATATCCAGGTGAATTACAGGCACAATCTCATTGAGGTGCGAGCAGATAAGCAGGAAGCCGTGTTTGAGAACTTGGACAAACCTGGAGAAACCAAAGTGTATCAGGTAAACCAGGAACGATCAAGGGCTACATACATAATTATCTCATTGCCTGATTGCCTATTTTCCAATACTTGTCACCTGATTGCATATTCTCCAATACTTGTCACCTGATTGCCTATTCTCCAATACTTGTCACTTGATTGCCTATACTCCCCTACTTTTCTGTCTCTTGCTTTTTGCCTTCCTGGCCTAATTTTGATTCCTAGTCTCTCCCTCCTTTTCCAGCTACGTCCACCAATCCTCCCCATTTGGCACCTGGGTGGGACTGTCTATTGGCAATAATCACCAAACCCTGAATATGAAATTTATTTTATGCTTCATCACCTGCCATGTCACCCCCTTTTTGTGTATCTGCTGACCTTCCTTTTGTGTCTGTAATAATCCCAGTATTCCACTTATGTTTCTTCAAAGCCCCTCACCAGCTTTTATGTCTCTCTTAACCCTCTTACACCTTGTGTGTCTCTTTACCCTCAACAATGCATGTGCCTCCCACCATCCTACCTCCCATATAAATATATAGTGGGACTGCAGTAAAAGGATTTTCACCCAAGCTATGAGTGGCATGTTGGAAGTATCAAGAGAGAGAAAGGATTCGGATCCTCTTTTTATTCCACTCACAGCTCCCTCTCAGTTGCAGTCCCACATGGCCTGCTACAATTAGTGACAGTACAGGAAGGTACTTTGTTTGCTAAGTACACAGGATTTTAGGATTTTTTTTAACAAGGTGTACAGACAGTCAATGAAGATCGCAGATCCTGAGGGCCAATTACAGTGATCTCATTTGTTCTTCATAATAGGTTATAATATGTTCTGCAGGTGTGCAAGATGCACAAACTCAGTGACAGCAGTGCACGACAAACAGTAATAAAAAGAAACATTAATAGTAGTAACATTAATTAATTAAGAAGCATTAATAAACTTTAGCATTAGCTAATTAAGAAGCATTAATAGACAAACTATTACAATGTGTTTGTTTCAAGGGTTATATCCAAATTCCTTATCATAGGTTGTTGTTATTACTGGGCATTGCTATGGCTTTATTTTATACACTGAACAAAATTATAAATGCAACACTTTTGTTTTTGCCCCCATTTTTCATGAGCTGAACTCAAAGATCTAAGACTTTTTCTATGTACACAAAAGGCCTATTTCTCTCAAATAGAATATAATATGAATGGTACATGTTTATTTAAAACCCCAATTTTTTTTCAGTCTGGAAGAGAGGCTAATCTTGAAATGTCATGGCAGGCATGAGATAGTACATTGCGCCTCTTCTCCATACAACACCATGCAAGCACATTTCAGAAACGCCTCATACTGTTATCAACAGACACTGGAAGGCGTTTGACCGAGTTAACTGATCATACATGCTAACCACCCTGAGGAAGATGGGATTAGGACAGAGATTCATCACCTGGATATCTGCCCTGTATGACAAGCCACGCGCAGCAGTGCGAGTTAATGGGACCCTGACCACTGACTTCAAGATTAGCAACGGAACCAGGCAGAGATGCCCTCTGTCCGTGCTTCTGTTCTCTATGACTCTGGAGCCTCTACTCCAGGAGATTCGCCAGAACCCCGATGTTCAAGGCTATTCCTGGCAAGGGGTGGAACACAAGGTCGCTGCATATGCAGATGATCTCCTCTTCTTTGTCTCTAACCTGCAAGTCACATTGCCCTGCTTGCTTTCAGAGTTCAAAAGATTTGGTAGGCTTTATGGATTTAAGCTCAACTTAATGAAATGTGAGGTGCTAAATGTCACACTCCTGGCGGAGGAATACACTTCTGGTGCTTCGGTAAAATGAAGTAGCTTGGAATATGGGTAACTACAGAACCACGGGATGTTTACCAACATAACTTTGCACTTCTGCTGAAGGGGATATTGGCGGACCTGGACAAATGTCACATGGCACAGCTGAATAGCAGTGCTCAAAATGAATGTGCTCCCAAGGGTTCTCTACCTTTTCCAGACCATCCCACTAGCGTTACCGGTGTCCTTTTTTTCCACACTGAAAACATTGATCATTCGATACGTTTGGCGAGGGGAGAGATCCTGGTTACGCCACAAGCTGTTATGTATGCCACGACACAGGGGAGGCCTGGCACTACCCGACTTCAAAAAGTATCATTAGGCCACGGCATTGCAGCACATCCTTGAATGGCACAAGAGTGACACACAAAAACAATGGGTGGCCCTAGATAGATGGGGTGCCGGGGCAAGCTTGAATTCAGGTGAATGGATGAGAAGATCGGGGGAGAGGAACTACAGGGACAGTGGAGACTCGGTAGTGCAGACATTGAGAATGTGGGAATCGATTAGAGAACTTCCACATATCTCACCTACCCCTAGTGCCTTACTCCCAATAATGAACAATAGCAACATAGGAGGAGGACTTCCCTCAAGTGCTTGGTCATTTCTAGAGGAGGGAGAATATATACCTATATGCAAAGCCCTGATAAAGAGCTTGCTACAGGGGCTGCACTCGTTATTGGAGGGTAGACCAAGGACATTCCTGTTGTATTTTCGATATATGCAACTAACACATTACTATAACTCCCTCCCGCATAAAGAACTGTTGCACAGGGACCTCTGTGTGCAGGGCAACACGCTTGACAGGGCAGTCTCCGCACTATACCAGTACTTTCTGGTGGGGCGCCATCTGGTGAACAACACCTTCCAAAGGCAATGGGATGAACTTCTTGTCACCGTCATAATGGGAAAAGGCGCTCCTATGGCAGCATAAAAGTTCTATCAACTATAAATTGATATCTCTCTGGTACAGGACGCCAGTCCTACTTCATAGAATATTCCCCTCAGTGCCCCTGACCTGCTGGAGATGCCAAGAGGACAGGGGGGTGCTAATACATCTTTGGTGGGAGTGCCGGGACATTATTCCATGTTGGGAACAGATCAAAACGGATGTGAGAACGATCCTAGTAGACGAAACCGATTGGTCGGCCGAACTGGCTTTACCGCACATATCCTCACAGCCGATCTCCCGCTACAAGAAAATCAATCTTACGCCATTTACTAGATGCGGCCAAATCCCTCATACTGGTTTATTGGAAGTGGTCTGAGTTCCCTACTCGGGAGGAGTGGATTCACAGTGTCGAGGACATCCAGGCAGCAGAGGCACTCCATGCTTTCCTGGCAGGGAGGGTGTCCAGGCGCACAGAAAAATGTCAACCGTGGTTCATGTTTAGGGCAGATGATCAGTAGATATTGTGGAATGATGTGTGGGAGGAATGTACTGGGGGGGCTCGGGGCTCTCGGATGTGAACCATTCTCCCATCTTACTTCCTCCTACGCCTCTATTTTTCTTTCTGACACTCTTCTACATTAAGGGGGCCTCTCTTATATTTTTGGCATTAGGAAGCTGACAAACTCAGGAGGGGTTATGGAGTCCCGAGAAAACAGGCGATCCTAATACGAATGCTCAGAAACTTATCCTAGGCCCTACACATATTCAACAATGCTAAAAACCAACAGTAACAAATTTTAAGACAACAGACAATGGTAACTGATAAATGACATATGCCGAAGCAAATGTACATATAGAATTGCACATTAACTTCCCTGTTTACCGGCCTGCGAGTCCATCGTATTCTTACTTACACTATGCTTCTCTCTGGGAATAATTGTTTAAATTACATAACTACAGCTAACAAATACCTACGCAGTGTTATGCAACAGCCGTTGCTGGAAATTTGTACATGTCAGGTTTCGTATCAAGTATACATATTGAACTGCAATCTATTTATCATGTTGAGAGGCCTGCAAGCTTACTCTGTATCTTTCTAAACATTTCCTTCTCTTTTTTTAAGTGTTAAATAAATCGGCATAAATAAAGATTTACAAAAAAATAATAAAAAAAAAGTCTTGAAATCACCACCCATTCTTCTATTCACAGTACGAAATGCTGCACGTCACCCCACCTATGGGACCACCAGATGTGTTGGTGAATAGTCCAGTGGCAGATGCAGGCGGCTGGGTGGATGTCAGCAAGGATACTCTACAGCATAAAAAATACCCCAATGTGTTTGGCATTGGTGATTGCACAAACCTTCCAACATCGAAAACTGCAGCAGCCATAGGTAATAATAGTAATAATAATCATCATCATAAATTCATATCAGTCAATTTATATCACTGTTTTGCTTTTTATCTCTGTGTATATAATTATCTCACAATAATTTGAAATGTATTAATGGATGCAAGTTGACTCCTCTGTTTACAACAAATAGACAATGTAATCAGCATTAGCACCAGCACACAATCAGGGCTTCAGACCAATATTTTTGTATCACCAAAATATTTTCCATAGGTATATCTCCTAATGCTTCTCCGCCATTTCATTTTAAGTGTAATTTTGAGATAATCCAGGCAAATAGCACTAGTGTGAACACTCAGGCATTGCACATCTGTTTTTGGCAATCCTCAGAATTGGCTTCTCCCAGCTTGTCCGTGGTTAGTGTTGAGTGTTTATCTTTTGATTGCATGCCCGCATCACGTGGCTGATAAGTCCTGCACAGTGATCTTGCTACTTACGCTCTGCACAGTTTGTACAGCCAGTGAACGTTCTAATTCAATATTATGACACATTGTATACAGAAAAAACAATATGTTCAAAAACAAGCTTTTATGTAATTAAGATACAAAACAAACAAATACATAGATATTATGAATATTAAGCAGTACGCATTATTTTACATTCCTTTTTTTAAATAATTATACTATCAGAAACAGGGTTATTTATTTAAGTGTCAATTGTCTAAAGTTCAAAGTAAATTCTTCGTTAATTTCACATTTTAGACCAAAAGAAACAAGTTTTAAAAAGAGAGAGTTTTGGTCTGATATTGAAGTCACTTTGAATGTCTGATAATTGACACTTTAATGAACATCCCTGAGTCTATTTGAATTTGTTCTGAGTGTTTTTTTGCATTGTTTTAGATTATTTAAATGGATTTTTTCTAAATTAATGTTTAAACATTCTAGGGTTATTTCCTAAAGCAGAATTGTTGTATGTATTTCTTTATTGGAGCATTGATAAGGAATCTGCAATGTATAGGTCATAATTACTAAGCCGATATAAAAGGTCAGTTGGAGAATTTTCCATTATGGGTGTTTTGATCCAACATATGCAGTTCTCTTAACATTGTCTGCAATAACTTGAATAATGAAAATTAGTACCCCCAATAGGTGATCCAACCCCCCTGCCCCCCACCTCCACCCTTAACCCCAAAATGTCTGATGTCTGATAAGTGTGAGTAAAAGTGGCAATTGAATGTTTAATTATGAAGAGAAACCACATTTTATGGTTTAAATTTTATATGTAATGTTTGTAACCCCCTCCTTTTTAAGGTGCCAAAAGTAATTGGATAATGGACTAAAAACCTGTGCTATGTCATTAACAATGGTGCAATTAAAATTTTTGGAGTTGATTCCAAATTTGCAGTTTGTATATGGAAGCTGTTGATATAAACTCTCAATATGAGGTCAAAGTGCTGTCAATGCAAGTGAAGCAGCCCATCATTTGGATAGAAAAAAAACAACACACACAACTAATTAATACAGAGGGTTACTTTTGAAAACTGCATCACTGTCCTACTAATGAACCTAAGTGTAAGTCTTGGGATCAGTTCAGGGAATTGCTCCTCTGGTATGGAGGAAATCAGTGGCATAGAAATGATCTGAATGGCATACTTTGAATGTCAGATATTTATCAAACACCAATTATTTATCAATTTGCCTTCATACCAGCACAGTTGATTTCTGTTTAGTTGCATCTTGTTGTCAAAACTGCAGAAAAATGGCATCTAGAAATGTAGTAAATTGCTCCCGAAATGGCTGTTTGGGTCGACCCGGGCGATCTGCTGTTGTTCCAAATGAGATCAGGATTGGAACAATTTGAGGCAGTTTCATGATTTATGAAGGACAGTAACTCTAATGAATTGCCTTTGTAATTTATTCTCTGTTTCACAATCTATCAGATTAGGTTATTCATTAAATTGAGAATTCGGGAGAAATTACAGTGGAATTACAACTTTAAGACCAAAATAGCTGATTTGGAAAAACAATCTAATCTACCAATCTCTGCTATCCCAGCTCCTGCTCTGACAGTAAAGCAATATGATAAGATATTTCTGAGTTTATTCACTCTGCCAGCTATTGTGGGGAACTGACAAGGGACTTGAAGCATGAGTACTGGCTGTCATTTAAATGCACAATAATTGTTTTATGACTAGAAGTATTAGTTGAGGACATGTAAGGACTACACCAGTAACCAGTGCACAACAATTGTTGATATTTATGTTTTATGAATCTGACTTGAAGTAGTAGTTGAGGTCATGTAAGGACAACACCAGTAACCTACATTAGCCTTTGAAGCGGCCAGTTGAGCTGACTGCACTCCATGTAGTGGCATTCACTTGCCATTATCCTTTGGGTTATCTCAGACATGCACTGCTTATAAAGCATAATGTTACATATAGTGCTTCAATATACTAAAAACTGTATTCACCCCAGCAGAGGTTAATTCATGTGTTTTGTTAACATTTGTAAACTCCTGTCAATGCATGTGTTTTAATATCTAATGTGAGCTCCTGTCAATGCATGCATATTATTATCTACTGTGTACTCCGGTCAATTCATGCGTTTTAATATCTGATGTGTGCTCCTGTCAATGCATGCATTTTAATATCTAATGTGTGCTCCTGTCAGTGCATGCGTTTTATTATCTGTGTGCTCCTGTCAATGCATGTGTATTATCCTCTAATGTGTGCTCATGTTAATGCATGTGTATTATTATCTAATGTGTGCTCCTGTCAGTGCATGGGTTTTATTATTAATGTGTGCTCCTGTCAATGCATGCGTATTATCATCTAATGTGTGCTCCTGTTAATGCATGTGTATTATTATCTAATGTGTGCTCCTGTCAGTGCATGGGTTTTATTATTAATGTGTGCTCCTGTCAATGCATGTGTATTATTATCTAATGTGTGCTCCTGTTAATGCATGCGTATTATCATCTAATGTGTGCTCCTGTCAGTGCATGGGTTTTATTATTAATGTGTGCTCCTGTCAATGTATGCATTTTATTATCGAATGTGTGCTCCTATCAGTGCATGCGTATTATTATCTGTGTGCTCCTGTCAATGCATGCGTATTATTATCTAATGTGTGCTCCTGTTAATGCATGTGTATTATTATCTAATGTGTGCTCCTGTTAATGCATGCGTATTATCATCTAATGTGTGCTCCTGTTAATGCATGTGTATTATTATCTAATGTGTGCTCCTGTTAATGCATGCGTATTATCATCTAATGTGTGCTCCTGTCAGTGCATGGGTTTTATTAATGTGTGCTCCTGTCAATGCATGCATTTTATTATCGAATGTGTGCTCCTGTCAATGCATTCATTTTAATAACTATTTTGTTTAAAAAAATAACTATGTTTACTCCTGCCTTTAATGGATTAATATTTATTAACATGTCAGTCCAATATAATGAAAGTATTTTTTACATTATTATTATTGTCTTAATACAATGTATTTGTTTACAGCCGCCCAGTCCGCTGTACTTGATAAAACCATTTCCTTGGTGATGAAAAATGAAAATCCGACCAGCAAGGTAAATGGATTTGCATGTATTCTGATATTTTTTGTAAATCTTTATTTTTGTCTAGCATAAGTGAACCCAGCATCCTGCATTGTCACAACACATGCAGGAATATGCAGAAGACACAATGAAACATATTACATGTGGATATTAACCTTGAAAGATATCACTGTGCTTCATTTCCAGGAGACAGCACGTTTTTGGTTTTTTTTGTTACGGTCCTATGAGCTGTAAGCAAGTATATCTGTATGCACTATGTTAGTGTGGCATTTAAACATGAAGTTACTGCTATTCATATCGGTAGTTAAGTTTGAGTTTCTTATAATGAGCATGGATTACTCATATGTGCTTAACATGCCTACAGTATACCGTGTGCATGCAAGACATAATAGTAGCATTAAAATAAAAGTAATTGAACACGTAAAGAGAAACAGTAAAGCTGCCCAAGTTTATATCCCACTTCGTAAGGCGTAGTGGCTGTGTAACATAAGAGTGATCACTGGACGTTTAGCTAGGAGAGCTTGAAAGGTGAACCACTGTGGCCCCTTGCATTTTCAGTAGTGGGCAGACTGGGGAGGCCTGCTTAAGGTGCCCAGGGTAGCCAAGGAAGTGTGAAGACCAGGTAGCGTTATGGCGGGCTCGGGCTATTGTGACAGGCAGATATGTGTAAGGCCCTATTAGGCCATCTCTCTGGGAAATTCCATCAACGCATAAGTCATATGAGTAGGGCATGAGACAAAGGATCAACTAAAATTAAACTAAAATTAGGACATAATGGGTAAGCACTGGCCCTTATCAAACCATGTGTGTCAAGTCCTGGATCCAGATGACAAAGTCAACTTTAGCCTACTGCGAAGCTCGGGAACTTGCGGGTGTAACTTGGAGTCAGTTCGCGGAGGGGGCTATATGTGGCAACCCTCCAGCCCCGGGCTGTGGGGAGGGCCTGTATCGATGTACTACGGACTTGGGTGCTCATAGCTGAGTCCAAGTCCTTCCCCGGCGGGGTGCGGCAGGATCGCTGAGATGTTCACTGCCTGCGGCGTCAGATCTTCTGCCTCCGTGGGTGATGCATAGGGGGAATACCCCTGGTGGCTCTCGGCCCAGGCGGACTCAATGCTGGATGTGTATACGCTTGGTGAGTAGTTTTGCCCAAGGGTGGCTCACGGACCCTTTCTCCGCCCGCTTTCCCGGCCTTGTGGTACTGCTGTGCTTCGGGTCTCTAGTTGCGCCCAGAAACAGGCAAAGATTGCATCCAGACGTTGTCCAACTTGCTCAACATGCTGCGTCCGGAGCTCAGGAGCAGGAGGCCTGTCCACCATTTTGAAAGAGGTATCCTCGTAGCCTGTTCCCCAGCGGTGACTGCTGCGTGAGGTAAGCAGGATGTGTGGAGCCGAGCAGTAGGGACCAGGATAACACCTACCGGTCCAAGGGGGGGAACGGGGAGCACAAGTCAGGAGTCTCAGCAATGGCTAAGGAACTAGGAGAGCAGCAGCCTCACCCTGGCTCATGCAAGCGTAGGTGGCAAGCCTCTGACCGGACTGGCCAGAATCGGGGAAGCTTATGTGGGGTATCATCATGTGCTGCAGTGTTCCCCGGTCTCGATTATTGCTGTTTGCCATCTTTTAAACGCAAGTAGAAGGGAGCTCCTGCTGAGCACGTCTGGTCTGCTTAGCAGTCAGGCTCCATCCCCCGGTATTCTGACACCAAATTATCATTGCTTATCTCTGCAGTAATAGATTTCTGTCTGCAAGATATAAACCGACTCCATTCATTACCATCAATAATTGTGCGTTATATTATTTTCTCGTACAGTATGATGGCTACACTTCTTGCCCATTGGTGACTGGTTATAGTAAAGTGATTCTAGCAGAATTTGACTACAGTCAACAGCCTTTGGAAACGTTTCCCATTGACCAAGGCAAAGAGAGAAGATCCATGTATCACATGAAAGCAGATATGATGCCGTTTCTCTATTGGAACCTTCTGCTCAAGTAAGTCATCTTGCGTTAGCTGTGCTTAGCCAATCAGACATTGCTCAACACACATCAAGAAATGTTTCTTTCTTTAGGGTTTGTATTTGCGATCATAGGTATCACTGGTAGAATATGTTGGTATATCTCTGTTGGAGTAGCCTGCCCGATCCACTTGTTGTTTGAAAGGTGGAACAGTGTGCAGAGGGTTGAAGAATGAGATATGTACCCATACTCTTTCTTAAATTACTTCACTATATTCCCCAGAATTATACAAAGATTATTCTGCAGCATTACCAGCAAGCCCTTTCACCCTATCCGTGTCCTCTCCATGTGTCATGTGACTACAAGCTGCAATCCCAGAAAAATTAAGTCAGATAATTTTGCAATTTATTTATTTATAAAGAAACCTGGATCAGGAAAAAAGAACTGGCAAAAAAAAAAGATATAAAAGGGAGAATGAGGGGAGTTGAGAGAGCAGGCCTTCTGACAGTAACAATGCATCTTCAGATGAATGGAGCTCCTTAAAATGTGGTGATTTGAAGTGATCATGGTGGTAGGACTCTGTATGTACAGCATTGCACACAGAGAAATCAGCATTTTTTAATCGGGGGCACGCTATTCCGGACTTCCAAATGCTGTCCCCCCCTCCCAAAACTATTGGAGTAACCTTTTCACTGTTCAAAGTCTAGCCAAGGTGTGGATTTCTGCGTTTAATTGTATTAAATACGTATTTGTTCAATATTGGGATAAGTAAATATAATATTGAATAGCCTGGGAAATCACAATTGCATTTTAAGCATCAGTATTATTGTACCAGCAGAATGTCAGTTATTGAAGTATATCAATAAATATATGGCTTGCCATGAAAATAAACCATGTTCTACCTAATGGTAATATATGTATTGCTACATCCAGCTTGTGTATTTATTTAGTCAGTGAAAATGTATGAATCATTCTGGTAGTTTGACTTAAACCATTCCTTTTTTTTAAATTTATTTTTACAGGGGATATTGGGGAGGACCTGCTCCCTACAGAAAACTGATGCATCTTGGGTTCAAGTAATACCTTTTTAACAAGGAAGCAGACATCTTCTCAACGCCCACTATCTGTAAAGAAAGTAGCAGTTTGCCAATCCATACCTTTAGGATAGAGAGTTCAGTTGTGCATATCCCTCAATCAAGTAATTTATTAGAACATGCTATTGGGATACCATTGAGTTATGAGGGAAGGGACAAAAAAATCAATTAAAGGGTTTCCAAGCTGGGTTCAATCTGGGCATGTGCATACCCTCTTTATAGGATCCTACATACAGTGTGTACTTTTGTCTCTCAGCTTTCACAGAAAACAACTAGTGGAATGAACAGAACCCGCAAATAAACCATCGGAGATTCACTTGTGGGGATATACTCAAAGAAGAATATTTGTTGCCCTTCTCGAACACTTTAGTGCCTTTCTGACGGTTTGGAAATGTTCCTTATAGTATGTAGGGCAGGGTGTAACATCTCTTTAAAAGTTAAACCTCATTTACATTTTTTTGGGGAAATTGTGGCACCTGAAACAGAATTCCAGCATTATAAATGACAGATTTTGTTGTTGAGCCGATATAATCATGTGCATTTGTTACAAATAAAGTTCTTATTTTACCTTCATATTTCTGTTGTTACAAAAGAGAGAGAGTTTTTTTTTTAAAATAATGTTTTATATTTAAAATGCCACCCTATTTTCCGGTGCTGTACAAAAGAGAAGCAACAGACACCTCGGTTAAACGCTTTGTTCCTCTGGTGTGGATGTGAACACAGCAATAGGAAGAGACATGCATAGTGCTGCATGTTACAAGAGATGAGCGCACACACACTTTGCATCACCTGGCGAAATGCAAAAAAAATAAAAAAATATTTAAAATAAATTTTATATATATGTACATACATACATATACACACACACACACACACACACACACACACACACACACACACACACACACACACACACACAACATACAAAATACACAATCCAGCGCACTCGCTTATTCACTAAATTATTTAAATTCTCACAGATTGTAATAGTTTTATTTAAAAACACCTCACCTAGGCAAAATATAATGGGGGTTTAGTTACATTATATGATCATATATTGCATAAGCCTGCCACGTCAATGTACCCATTCTTGGCAGGTCCTACTTGGTTTCATTTATATATATATATTTTTGTTGGGGGGCGGGAGAGAGAAAAATGTCATGTTTAGGATCTATAAAAAAGCACCCCTTCCACCTCATACTAAGCCATCAGTGCACGGCAACAATAATTGCACAAGCCTTTCTCCCAGGCCAGGTTCCTCTAGTTGAAATGGTAGAGTGATGCCATTTTGAAAATGCCAGAAAAAGTTAAATATGATTAAAGGAACAATATAGTGTTAGGAATGCAAGTTTGTATTCCTAATGGTATAGTGTCCTATTTAACTTGTGTGACTGCTTCCCAACCCCCTGCGAGGGTTAAAATAAGCAATTTACTTACATTTTATCTTGTGTTGGTCGCCTTCCTTGGCTGAGATCATACATTTTGGTGATCTCTGTAAATCCAATGCACTTTTTCTTGCACAGGAAGCTGGATTTTCTAGCAGATAGGTGGCTACCATTAATAGATACTCATGTTTTGAAAATACAATATAGAAGCAATGTTATACATCAGGAGTAGGCGACCTTCAGCACTCCAGATGTTGTGGATTCCTGTAATCCTCTTACAGCCATAATGCTGGCAGGAGAGATGTAGTCCACAACATCTGGAGTGCCCACGGTTGCCAACCGCTGATCTACAGTCACTATGCATTGGATATGGCAAAAACAAAAAAGACAATTACAGCAAGTATAGAGTAGACACAATTAGGTTAATAAGAAGCAAGAAGTCAGTAGGGACACTATTATTATATAATGATTATCAACCTGTTTAGGTCTAGACTCTTGCTCAGAGACCTACTGTCAGGATTATAGTTGATCCAGCATGCAGAATAGTATCACACCTAGGACTAAGGAGAACCTCAAACCGGACCTTAGAATGGCAGGATTTAACTTACCAGAGAATAGTCAAAATACTTGCCAAGGTCAGGGACACAGAACGAGACACAGCGATGAGGAAAGCCAGAAGTCAAGTATAACAGAAATCAGGGAAGTCAAAACGAAGCCAAAGTCAAATACCAGAAAAGCGCAATCAGGAACACACTTTTAGATAACCAGCAAGTGGAAACCACAACCGGGCACTGACAAGAAGGCAATTTGGGTTTAATTAACTCTCCTTAGGCTGTAATTGGCTGTCTGACCTCTGTCCCAAAACGTACACACGTGTCTGATGTCATATGCATGTTGGCACCACCTTTGATGTGGGTGGAGGTAAGTCTCCTTTTAAAACCGGAACTGCAGCGGCTGGCGTCTCTAGGAATGCCATACTTGCTGGGAACCGAGATAGAAGACTTTCCGCAACCAAGGTAAGTATTTGATTTTTCTGCCAGCGTAGCCGCTATGTTTCAGTGCGGCCACGCCGACAGAATCGCGCTGACCCGTGACACCTACAAAGAAGGGAAGGTGTTGTCAAAGATAAGAGGGTTTATTGCAGAAGAGAATTTACCTAGTTGTGTCACTTGCCCATAATAAAATGTGTATTAAAGAGTTGTATCTGAGAGACAGGGAGAAACCTGGGTGGGTGGCCACACTGTCAGGAATAATGAGAGAATTACATGAATTGGTGAGCTGTGAGGGACAAGCGATGGATTGGGCTAGGCACTGACTGGGAGGCTTCAGTTACAAGGTGTGAGATAAACTAGCAAGAGATTAGGGACCTTATTCCAGTAATAGGGGGCTAAGAGAAAAAAAAAATTGCAAAATTGTGAGTGCATTGATGTGGGGTTGGGTTAAAGAGAAGCAATTCTGACAGTGAAGAAGAAAGGTTATGGTTTATGGTTATGAAAGGTTTTTTGTTCCTATCTCAATACATACAAATTCTTAAAAATCAGTATCTTTTCATGCAGGACATCAACACATCAGTCACTTCGTAACCAGCACTAGCAGTGTCTGCTATGGAGTTACCAGGTCAACCAGAATACATACACTCCTTTGGGAAGTCTCTGCCTACTCAGTCAATTCTTAATGGTGAAAAGTTTGTCTGACTGGTTGGAGAGTGTTCTCCATAAAAAGAGCATAATTTACAGCTATTCTTACAAGTTAAGTGATGACTGGGGTTATAATTTATTATACACTTCCTTTAGCTTTTATGATTCACAAAATACAATTTACATGCATTTAAAATTTCCATCAAATTTTCAGGGACTGCAAGAAACCAGTACATCAACATGGATGCGCACCAGACATAGCCTCATCCCATGAGGCTTCATGTTAGGATTAGTTCACATTTAAGATTTGAATACTAGATGATATTAAACCGCTCTCTTGCAATTGGCTATGAATATGCACTGGGAGAACTGCTGTTTAGTCACCATCTATCCCATCAAAAATACCTTCTCTATGTGACTGACCCCATTTTAGTTGCCCTATACGTAGTGTCAACGTTTCTGTACTAGAGCCTTTATCCCCTTCTTTCAATCATTCTTTACCCTTACTATATGCCTACCACAACAGTCACCTTCTCTACTTCTCATCGGTTATATTCCTAATTCAAACAAGCATTGGTCAGTATGCTCCTGTAAACAGAGGGGGTGTAGCACTAGCCACTGACAGTGCAATACACAGCAGAGAACATGGAATCCCACTTAAAGTCAGTAGGTGCTATGTATGTATCGTCTGTTGCTTCGCTTTTAGGAAACTTTTCAGTATGTCTCATAATTATGTCCGTATTTACACCAAATTATTGGTCACTGCAACTCTTCCATCTTTATTTGAGTTCCATTTTCACCTCATTAATTTGTTCCCACCGGGCAATGTTATATTACCTTTAAATTGCTAATGTGCCTTATTCCCCGCTAATATCACTCCTTTGTTTTCTTATTTTACAAAGTTAACAAATGATAAAAACTTGAGGGAAACAAAAAATATATATTTTTTTAAAATACCAAGTTGAATAAAAACTGGTGAATAGATGGATTATTTTGTTGCACTATACAACAGTGAGCCGGCTTTTATAAACAGGAAAATGCAGCACGTACATGAAAGTAAACAGTTTCCCATACAACGCCCTGTATTACGGAGAATACCATTAAATAACCCCTCTTTCTTGGGAGCAATGGAGTTTGAGAAACATGGCACGTTCCTTTACAAATAATATGGAGGAAACAGAATGTGATTCAAGTAATCGTTTATTCGGGTGGAGTGCTTCTAATTTACAGCAGCTTCTTAAAAGATTTTATATTAAAATGCATTTCAGTATTTTAAAAAAAATTGCAGCAGATGAAGCATGTGCAATACAAATATATAAGTTAAAAAGGCATCTTCTGTGGTAAAAACTGCAACACCTTCAATTTATTCCTGCAATAAAAACAAAACATAATACCGTTTGAATATAAACAAGCATAATTAGAATTTACATGGTGTTAGATTTTTACATAGCAGCACAATCCCACAAATATATAACTACAGAGAATGTACGCTCGTTTGAGCAGAGGCGCGTTCACCTCTTCTATCCATCGCCATTAGAATGTCTGTCAAATACTGTTTTTTCTATGTTATTGTATACGTCAGTGCTATATATTGTTGCTCAAATAACATTTGAAGCTTTTTTTTAGATAAGAGATGTACTAACCATTGTTATAACTTGCATTATCTAGCTTTGAGAACATACTTCAAATACTGGAGGTAGAGCAGCTCCATTAAGATTATAAAAATGGATTCAGAGTTGCAGTTTCAGCTATTCTAATCCAGTATAAGATATACAAGTCATTTCACAAGGTGCAATATTATGGGATACTTGACGGACAGTATGTGTTACCTTGCAGTTGATCATGTTAAGTATGTCTCCATACACTCTGTTGAACAATTTTTCTTTTGTATTTGTTCCATCCAGTTGTTCTAGAAACAAGACGACTATTTAGCTTGGTTGTCGAAAAGCAGGTCATGTGCATGACTTAACAGAAAAGTGCAGCAATATAGGTGAATGCAACCCACTTACCAACAGTAACGTTTAACTCTTCCATTATGTTCTTGTGCTTAATGTACATCGGCCAGACATGTCCATCAAAAAGTCCTGGTGGATCTGGAACTGTGTAGTTTCTAGAACTGTACATTTGTAGAAGAAAAAAAAAAAACAGGAGTCAAACCCTTTAGTGTTTTATGGAGTTTCAATTGTAAACTGTAATCAGCATTATTAAAGGGACACTCTATTGGCCAAGTACAAAATAAATAAATCACTGTTTAGTAGATATACCACAATGAAAACATGCATGCAATTCATTTTTATTCCCCTCCCCCCCACTGGGCGTATACCTAAAAAAAAAAAAAAATAATAAAAAAAACAGCTTTCAAAAGCTGCAGATCTCTTGTCTGCTGCCTTTACAGACACTCCCCTTGTAACTCAGCCCGGACTTTCTATAGCTATCCAATAATTGAATTAATGCTGGTGCTCTGGACAATTTCCTCCTCTTGAGTTTAGCTCCAAAAGAGCTAAACAAACCAGGAAGTAATATAATCAGTTGTCTAAGTAACAGCTGGAGGGCGGAGGGAATGGGGGGTGGAGTTGGAGGAGGGGTGTAACAAGGTTAATTTATAAAAGTGTATATTTCTGTTAAAATCTGCACTTTTTGTAAAAAGAGGACACACTTCACACAAAGCGTTTCAGCAGGGTGCTTCAAGAGTCGGGAGTGTCCCCTTAAGTCTTTTTTTTTTATTTCTAACTACAGGGGAGACCGGTGACCCCAGTTGTTTATATCAGAGATAGATGTGAATGCAGCTTTATTCATAAATAATATGATATTGTTAGAGGATTCCTTTACAGTGTGTACAGAGCGAGTATGTACTTCCTCTAATCACAGCTCCAATCAGAGTGTCTCAATGGGAGATGATGTCTTTGTCCTGCATAATTTATTTGCCCCACTTTGTTATTCTTTTCTGGGTGCTAGCAGTTTTTACGAATGTGAGTATTTAAAGTGAATTAAAAATTTTAGGCCAGAGTACTGGAAGCATAGCTAACTTTTTAAGTCAGTTTCACTTTCTATAAAACTAAAGCGCTGCAGAATATGTTGGCGCTATTAAAATGTTAGTAGTAATAAGAATAACCCCCCCTCCCCCCACGGGTGTATCACACAATTGTGCAGCAATACAATTCAACAGTTAATATGCTTCGTTTTGTAGCACAGAGTTCCAGTAACTTAGGAGGAGTCTATAGCTATCACAGTTTAACACACATCTTTCATAGCTCAACAGAAATAAAATTCAAACCTTTATTAAAAAACATATTGCAAAACAAAGGCTAACTGAGCAATGTTTGGTTCATGAGTATATAGCAGCGTTCCACAGCAATATAATGAATGTAGTAGAACGTGATGAAAATAAAATGTAGCTCAATAGATAGCAAAAAGCAAAAAAATAAAAAATAAATAAAAAAAGACAATTGACATTGTGGCTGATATATCGCATCCACCCTACAGAATAGGACAATTGTGCTCCAGGGGAGATAAGTAAAAAGAAGATCTTGTTCAACAAGTCTAGAGATAGCACATCATCCACCCTACAGATACAGCCTGTTCTTTCAGGTCAGGTTCTAGAATGACTAAGCAACATTGTATAAATGATTTATGTTCACATTCTGCTAGTGTTGCTGATAGGAAAGGATTTAAAGAGACACCATAGTCATCAGAACAACTACAGCTCTTCTGGTGAGTAGTCCGTTCCTGCAGGCATGTTCATGTAAATACTGCCTCCAGTGGCAGTTAGACAGCCACTAGAAGTACTTCCTGGGTCAAACTGCACAGTGTGCAGGACTGACGTTCAGCATCTTCACACGCTGCATGGAGGTGCTGAAAGCTCCCCAAAAAGTTGCACTGATTCAACACATCAAGAGGAGATGTTCCTTGGCCAGTGCAGAGTTTTGCTGTGCATGCACACTAACCTCACAGTGCATTGGCTTGGCCTGGACTGTCAATTCTAAAGATCTCAGCAAAGGGAGCAGAGCGAGTATAAATGCGAGTTTTAACCCTATGTTAGAGGGTGGGGAGGAGAGGTGATAAACACATTGTATATTGCTTCCAAAGTATTTTAACATAAGTACAGTATTTATTTTAGCCATATTATCCTGCAACAAGCAAATACTTTAGATGTAACTACTGTTTTAGAATATCAAGACTGCAGAGACGCCCTGGGTACTACATTGGAGTTATAAAATAGAATGCATCTGTACTTGGCAGGTTTGCATGCCAATATCAATTAATGGGAAGGGTGCCATTGACATTTAATATGTTCAGTCTATGGTTGGGTAAAACTATTTATACTCAACACTTGACCAAGTGCCAAAACAATAATAACAAAAGGTCATGGTGTTTGGAGTTTGTATGTGCAACATAAAAGACAATGTTAAATATCTATATACCTCCTTCTTGCCTTGCATTCATCGTAGGGTATTGAAAGGAAGTAGCGATGGGTGAACATATCGATTAGTGGTCTGCAAAAAAAAAAAAAAAATGGTAACCGTAATATCACAAAGACCAGAACAATGGAGTTCTGAGGATATAAATATATTTTCTATTGAAGGATAAACATTTATTCACTGCTGTACATAGGAAATATAATGCTTTGACAGTCCTTATTTAGCCAAGACTTTCAATGTCAAATGTACATACAGAAGTGTGAAAATTGAAGTGTGAACTGAATAAGAGAATTTTTATGTACATCCCAGACAAACATCGAGTGCATCTTTTACACTGATATTTAGAAAAAGACAAAACACGAATCTCAAGGACAGACGATTGAAAGTTAGGTTTTATTTGTGAATCATTCGTCAGATCAACGTTCGCCCAATCCCTAAACGAGGTCCCTGAACAGTAAGTAATGCATTATTTAATAATGCAAGGTGCACATAACTTGAATGAGGGGAAAAAAGCCATATAATTAAACAAATTATTACAGCCTTTGTTTCAAACATCCAGCTTATAAGAGACAAGATAATAAGATAAAATAGCAGCACATAATTAAGGAAACCTACCTATAAGTATAGAGAAGGAAGCCTTCCACTATAAGGATATGGTTATCCTCTTCCTGATGTTTATGTGGTTCCTCACTGTCCAAAACATTGTTAATGCCATGAGAGCGTTCAAACTTTACCGGATTTTTTATCCAAGCATCAATCGTGTCAATCATTGAGTCCATATCCAAGGCAGTGATAACTGAAAAAGAAGTTCAGGGGATAGAGATATCATTATGGTGGCCATAGAAGATTCGATGCAATACTAGTTTAAGGGACAATAAAACTTTTCCCTTCACGAGGGAGAGGAAGGAAGAAGGGAAGGAAGGAAGGAAGGAAATAAAGAAAGAGAACCTGCTTACCATCATACTGCTTAAATCCATCTTCAACTGCGATCTCGTCTTGGGGCTGAAATAATGACCAAAACAAATAAAAATGCTATGTCCATATGGCACAGATTTGACCAATGACAGAGCGTATAGGAATTTTTCAAGAAATTGTCAGTAGAAAAGAGGATGCAACAAACATTAACATATAAAACATATACAGCAAATATTCATAGCACAGTCTGGTATAATTATATATAGTGCAAATGCAGCCCAAGTCCAATTGTAGCCAACAGGTAATCCTCCAGCATCATGAACAGCACAGTGACCAATCAAATTTACAAACTAAAAATCTGCAATTATATAGACCCTAGGCACTGGTCTCCATCCAAATCGAAGGATCTCCCCACCAATAGTGCCATTAATTTAATTGAATTTCTGAGTGGGCAAGGGACAGCCCCTGTCTTGCTCTATGTCTGGTTCTCCCTTGTGTTACAACCAATTGATAAAGTTTAGGAAAGAATAATAGTGCTGACAAGTACAAGCTGATAAAACACTGATGACATATGATGTAACAGGATGTAACTTTGCACCTTGTGACATATCGCCATTTAGCGCCAACAGATTCCGTGAATTACAGATGGAATGTTAATGTAGAGGAATATACCGGTGTAAACTTGCATCCTCATTTATAAAAAAGTACCTCTGCATTCAAACACTGACACTGAACACAAAAACAACCCTGCATTCCTGCAAACAACTAAATGCATCCATTCTCATAAAACACACTCCTGCATTTAAAAATAAATCACCCCTCATTCACATGTTGAATAGATCCGTTTCTGGAGTACCTATTTCAAGCTCAGACAGTTAATAGAAAATTGAGCATATCTTTATGAGACTGTTACGTGCCATGATGCATTCATTTCAACTGCCTAAACATGAATTAAATACACTAAAGTCTTGATATTCTAAAACATCACTTCCTAAACTGGAATATTTTAGAAGATCTATATAAAAAGCTAAAAAGGAGGGTTTTTTTTTTCCCTTCCTCTGCTATTAATCTACACTTTGCTACAATAAGCTTGTTATAAAATCAGTGATTTTGCTGTGATGATGATGATGATGATATTATTCATAAAGCTCCAACAAATTGTGCAGCGCTGTACAATGGATATACAAATTTGTCACAAAATATAAACTGTACAATATGAATTCACTTTTAACTAATATTCTAATAAAATGTCAAACTTATTCATAGTTTGCATTTTAATGATTTTTCCAGTAATAAAAATATAGAATTTAAAGAAAAAGGCCTAAAATGAGGACTTGGATATATTTTCAAGATAAATCAAATGGAAATGGGCTGCAATTTTAAAGTACTTCCACTTTTGTAGACATCACACAAATATGTACACAGAGATTTTGAATTGAACCTTAAAATGTAGCACACACTATCTACCTTATATAGATTCTCCCAGAAGATCAAAGAATAAAACATAGGAATAAAAAAAAAAAAAATGACAATAGCCAGATAAAAGTACTCAGTGAACACCCGACTGATCACATTGTATGCACATTTAAAGTTGAATTAAGTAACAAACCCTATATATAGATTTCTTACCTTAAAGAAATCATCTTGATGCACAACACAGCAATTAGGCAATGATGAAATAAGCCTGTTGGTTAGTGTAGTTTTTCCACCATTGGTAACACTAAATAAAAATGAAAACAAAACAAAGTCAATTAACAATGTAAAAGCTCAGCAGTTTAAGATATATATCACCAGCATGTATTATGTTGATTAAAAAGTGAATGGAAAATTCTTGTTTGTATAGTCATGAGCGTTTTGGCAAACATTCAAAAACATTTTAACCTGATATCCAGTTTCCCGGACAGTTAAAGGGATCCTATAGTGCCATGAAAACAAACCCATTTTTCTAGCACTATAGGCTCTTGCACTCAAGGGGTTAAAACCCCTTTAGCCACTTACCTTAATCCAGTGCCGGGCTCCCTCGGCGCTGGTGACCTCTCCTAACCCGCCGACGTCAGCTCCCATGGGGATCTTATATGATGCTGGACTCCGTGAAGACGTCCAGCGTCAGATAACTGCGAGTTTCTCAGTGTAAATCGCAGAATTCCCATTTAGTGGCTGTCAGGGAGACAGCCACTAGAGGCTGGATTAACCCTGCAGTGTAAACATAGCAGTTTCTTTGAAACTGCTATGTTTTCAGCTGCAGGGTTAGAACTAGTCCTGGCACCCAAACCACTTCATTGAGCGGAAGTGGTCTGGGTGCCTATAGTGGTCCTTTAATCCATAGTAATGAGCATTAATTACTTTCAGAAGCAATGACTTCTTGCTGTTTAATTACAAAAGATACAGAGTAGTCAGAAGTGATCTTAAATACATTAAAAGTATTTAGCTTTTACTTGCAAGTATAAAATGAAACTAAACTCAAGTTGCATTGATGCTATTCTAATATGCATATTTATATCATCATATGGATCAGGCACAACAGTTGACATGTCCTATAACAGTGCAAATGTAATTTAGATTAACAAGCCAGAGATATTCTCTCCTTGTGTCTGCGTAGAGTTATTTACTAAAGTGTGAACTGTCAGTTATTGAAAGAGAATTCAAATGTTTAGGATAAAGTAGACAAAACTGAAAATTTGGTTACCTTTCAGCTATTGTGGCCCAATATTTTATATTCACTTAAATTCCCATCATAGCAAACTTTCGTAATGAACTCTGAAATATATTTGACCTAAAATGTTCCATCACATTCTATATCATTGTGCAAGGAGACCTCCTACACTACATGTATTCAAATGTATATACATGTTACATAAACAATCTAATTCTTAGGGATTTACGCAAGAAACTATTAGAATAGCAAAATTCAGGCTCAAATAAATGTGTTGCCAATAACAGTTTGAGAAATTGTCCGAATCAGTTCTTCTTGCCTAAATTTTGCCATTAGATTTTCAATTCACTACAATTATTATTAGAATTTATATAGCGCCAACAAATTCCACAGCGCTGTACAATTCAGTGTTTAATAAATATGCCCTCTAGAATACTTAGATTATAAGCTTGTTTGAGCAGGGATTTCTACGCCTCGTCTTTTAGAATTCCGCATGTCATCTACTATGTAATTATCGCCATTCTATGTTGTAAAATGCAACAGAATATGTTGCCGACATACGAATAATAAAATAATATATTCCTGTTGGTGCTGTCACATAAATCTAAATTAGAAAGATAAAAAGTTAAAATTTGGCCCAGAAAATACTAATGCAGCTGATGTTATATCACATGATTTAAAAAAATTATAATAAATTGTATTTTGTTTTAATAGTTATGATAGTATTATAGCATACACAAAATATTGTTGTAAACAATTTAGTAAAAACAAAACAGTATAAAAAAATCCACAAACATTTTTAAAATGCTGATTAGAAGAAATGGTTTCCTTATTGAAAGCGTCTAGATAGAATCCTCAAATCCTACTGCATACTATAGACTTTCTCTTGTTCAAACAAACTAATGAAATGCGAGACATTAGAAAGTTTGTTGGCATTGCAACACACATCTAAAAGAGGAGGAAAAAAAAAATAAACCATAAAACAACAAAATGGTGGAAGCGAGTTTTGTTTGTACAAATTCAGTCATATTTAAGATTAACGTAATGAATTGTTACATAAAGCAAAAAGCGGTTTAATTAAATTGGACCTTTCCTGATGGACTATGCTTATATGCAAAAGGTAACATAAAATGTAAGTTAAGCAATTTAATTATTGAATAAATAATGTGAAAATTAAGTCATAACTATGAGGCATCATATAAACATCCACACAACCTCTCTAGGGTGACATTTTCACCATAATTACCTGCTATGTATCTTTACTCATTCATTACCATAAAAAACAACAACAAATATTTAAAAATTTTGGGCGCCACAATACACTCTCCCTATTGATAGATATATGCACACACAGAGAAGCATTTATTTTATAAATGAAACAGCAGAAATAAAGAAGAAGGAAAGAATTGGAAAAATAAAATGAATTGGAATGTATTTGAACTAAAATTTCCAATTCCTTAGCCAGATCTCCAAATGTCCTGGGTTAGTGAATAACCCCTAAACATAGATTCAAAACAGAAAGGCGGGAGGGAGGAAGGAAACAAGTGTACCTACACAAGGTTTCCTTACTGACACAATAACTATTAACCAAAACACATATGGAAGAACAAAGTCTGAGTGCCCAGTACAATATGAAGGAAGTACAGCTACAACAAAGAGGTGACATTATTATTATTTTATTATTTATATAGCGCCATTACATTCCATAGCGCTGTACAATGGGACATAAAATGCAGAGTTTTGTAAAGCAATAGTTGGATAATAAAACTGTTGCCCTGTGTGTCTCTTGTTAAATGAAATGAGAGTGTGCATGTTGTATGCTGAGCCCCAGGCAGGGTACAGCAGCAGTGAAAGTGACAGCTCCCCATGAGTCAGTGTCTGAGTACAGTAAGCTGTTAGTACAGTATCCACACACCCTGCCCATGTTACACACACTCACCCGCCAATTCCTACTATCAGCTTCATGGTGTCCTCCTGTCACCCTGGGCTCACAGCAAAATAAAAAAAAAATCAATCAAATAAAAAAGATGGTAAATAGACCCTAGATGGATGCGGAGAGAAGGAGATGGATTTAATGTCAACTAATAAACGTGGATTCCATGGTAGTGAAAGTGACCCAGCCAGAGCTCAGCACACAAAGGGCAGGACTCAGCTAGGAGCTCAGGCTCAGCCAGGGGCTGCTCTCCCGCCATTGGTCAGTATCTGGAAAGAACAACTGTCTGCCAATGGGATTGGGGGATGTTGCTGATGTCACCCGGAAGGTGTGGTGGGTAGGAGCACATGTGTGCCTGGGAGAGTGAGCTGTCACACTGTATATTATTAGTTTATGGAGGCCAACAGTAATCCCTGCTAGACTATGGCAGCAGCAACAGGGCCATCTGTGGGGCTGGTTTGCACAAACTGTTAACCAAAACAAATATGTGGAAGCAACAGTGGTGTCACCCTGTACAAACTTAAAACAGATCCTCTTACAAGAAGGAATGCCATAAAGTTTTGAGTTTTATCCTTCTACTCTTGGGGCAAAAGTGCTAAATGTGGAGCAGTCACCATGGAAACCAATACAATGTGTCAGTGTTTAGCACTTTGCACCCAAAATGGGACCCATTTTGCTTGGATAAATCTTCCCTATAAAATTTAGGCCAAGTGCAACAAATATTAAGAAGTAGTACAGGAAATAAAATATGCTACAATTACAAAATTGTGTAAACTGTGTGTGTATTTTTATGTTTTATTAGTAATTAATTTTAAAAAAAACATCTGGTTTGTAGTGGAAATATGTTATAACCAACAGATAAGGCTGCTTTGGGGACGTTTGTTATTATGTTTATATAACAGGCATACTCAAAATTGAACTTTTCCATAACGGTTCAACATTTCACAATGCACAACTTATCAGTTATAGGTAAACTCCGCAGAGTTCAAAGCAAATAATAAATGTAAATAATAATAATTGACTTAACGGAGATGAGATACAGGGGATATTGTTCACAGTGAGGACTATGATCAGCCACGGGCCTAAAATAGTGATAACCATTCATTATGATTTCATAACTCCAGCTTTAACCCTAAGGCTAAACTTGTGTGTGTGTTTATGACTTTCTAACACTAACTGTAATTATCACCTTCAGTGTACGCCATATAATTACCACTGTTATAGCTTAGTACATAACCCATAATAACCCTCAATGCATCCCTAAACTTAACAGGGTTTTTTCACTAAGGAGATCATTTTTCCTGTTCAGCTATATTGACCTTAAATTTGAAATTAATTTGAAATTATCTAAGGCACCTATGCTTTCACTTTGGATTATCACCTTACTAAATAACCCCCTGTAAATTGTATAACTTTTTCTGCTTTACCTTTTATATATATATATCTATATATATATTCAGATAGTGATCAGCACTCACGGATTTTCAAGAATTTAAATTAACAATTTATTAAGTATCCATTAAAAGATCAACGTTTCAGTCCCAGCAGGGACTTTCTTTAGGATCAGGCATGAAAGTCCTGATGAAAGTCCCTGCTGGGACTGAAACGTTGATCTTTTAATGGATACTTAATAAATTGTTAATTTTAATTCTTGAAAATCCGTGAGTGCTGATCACTATCTGAATTTATTTGAATTTTCCTGGATTACAAGCACCCGGTTATTAAATCATCCAAGCGTGAGTGCAAGGACTTTTCTATTTTTATCTATATATATATATATATAGAACAGTAGCTGTAACACTCTAGTCTAGTGGATACTCTTTATATCACACATTGTGACAAACTCCCCCTTTTTAGGGAGTTTGCCATGAGTTTTTGGAAGGGCCTGCTTGCCAGCCTCCTGCCCTATGACTTTGGCCCATGGCTAAAACTCTGGTACAAGACTGTAAAAAGGCTTGTTCGTTCCCTTTTCTTTATGTGGTTTGGTAAATGGAGTTTACCGAACAAACTGGCGAACAGCCGACCACCATGCATGTGGAGTGTGCTGCTAGCTAACCACCCAGAAGCTGTGGTTAACCGCAGCTTAATTGACGAACTGCTGGGTGGCCGGCGTTCGTATGAACGAACACGTGGCGGTGGCCATTTTGTTTAGCCGAACGCACTCAGCTGTGTTTTGTCGTTGAACGCCTGGATCTATAATCGGCTACTATTTCCCATGAACACCGCTGAGACTTTCACCTTCCGTGCATTCGCCTAAGTCCATACGAACAGAGCGCTATTTCTGGAGAACAAACTGACGAACAAAACGCTTTCAATGAAGTACTGCACGAACAGATCCGTTCGTGCAATTTATACATTATGGGAAGGAGAAGATAGACCGGCCGCACAGCCAAAATCTGTGGAACTATTTTGGGCATGAAAGCCATGCTTGCGGTCGGTCAAATGTGACTTCCATAGAATTCAGGAACCCCTGTTCCGATCTGGGTGATTTTTGGATATGATGTTCGCCAAAATCAGAGCTATCCAGGGATGTATAATTTGGGGATATGTTGTTGTTTTGGGGTGTTTCTGGACTTTGGGTAAAATTGGATATTTTCTGCCTGTGGTAATTAAATTAGTCCATTGTGTTTGGTAATTGTATCACAATATATAGGGTGAGGTAGAGGCAAAAAATGCCTACAAAATTCAAAATATAAACAAAGAAAAAATTAGACCTGTGATACAGATACTCAACACTTAAGTCCCAACAGTGTATATACAACCAAAAAACAAACACGAGTCCTGCACATCCAGTATAGGTGTGCACACCCAGGTGCTACCACAATTTATTTGAGGACAATGTTAATACAGCAAACGTTTCGAGCAGCAGCCCTTTCTCAATGCTAATTTCCTCAGGATGCGTTAGGAGCATCCTTCAACGGAGGTACCCAGTCGGGGTGCCAGGTGATCCGTTACACACATAATTTCAATAAATCAAATATAAAAAAATAAACTCAGTGTTTAGGTGATGTGCCCCACCAAAAATACAAAGTGCAAGTGCAGTGCTAAAATTTGAAACTTACCCTTTAAAGCAGGCTTCCCCAAACTTTGGCCCTCCAGATGTTGCTGAACTACAACTACAACTCCCATGATTCTCAGCCTATTTCATTCATAGAATCATGGGAGTTGTAGGTCAGCAACATCTGGAGGGCCGCAGTTTGGGGAAGCACAAACTAATATTAAAAGTGAGTGAATAAAAAGGTGCCTTTTAAAGAGCATAAGGCTCCAATCATGCAGGGTTCTGTGCTCTTCAGGTGGTACTTACCACACAGAATTGCAATATTTTTTTTTGTATTTCCTTTTATATGTCTACATCCTGCCCCAGTACATGCTTTAAGGGGTAAGTGTTATCCTCCACAAATTGTAGCGCTGCCCACACACTTAGTGCTTAGGTGATGTGCCCCACCAAAAACAAAGTTATTTTTGTGATGTATGGGCGGTTGGGCTGTGTATGAATGTGTGAGTGTATGAGTGTATGTATTGTGATGTATGGGCATTGGGCAGTTGGGCTGTTGTTGGCTGTGAATGATGCACTTCCTTTCTTTTGGTTCTTTACTTCCTGTTGGCAGTTGGTGGAATGTTGGAGGGATTTGAAATGGCGGCTGCAGAAACCCTGTGTAACAAGGCTGCAATATGAAGATCCTGTTATATATGTATTAATAAAGTGAGTACTTCGTTATACAGGAATTATTGACTGTTTTATACAAAACATCACAGTGGCGACGAAGCTGTAGAACCCAAACTGACATGGCAGCCATTGGCACTATAAAGGACTTTGATCCTGACTCGGATTTATAGGCCTCTTGGGTTGAGAGGCTTGAACAATATTTCGCAGCTAATGATATTCCTGACAATAAACAGGTCGCTTTTCCTAACAGTTATAGGAGCCAGAACGTATGATACGCTAAGGAGCCTCTTACACCCAGAGATACCTGCCAGCAAGCCAATGGCAAGCCTGATTACTCTGTTAACTGGCCATTTCCAACCAAAACCACTAGAGATAGCAGAGAGATTTAAATTCTATGAAAGAAGACAAGAGCCGGGTGAATCAGTTTCAGCATATGCCATTGCGTTACGGAAACTCGCCAGCACCTGCTGTTTTGGGGTCTACCTGCCCACTGCTCTGCGAGACCAGTTTGTAATGGGCATTGCAAGTGATACAGTGCTAAGGAGACTGCTTACAGAAGAAGATTTAACATTTAAAAAGGCAATGAACATGGCAAGCAATATAGAACAAGCCTCTAAGGATGCTAGTTTATCACACAGCAGACTGGACAACACACAGGAGGCAGAGCTAGACGTTTTAAAATTAGATGCTAGAGCACAGAGTGTACCACAGGGAAAGAGACTTTCAAAACAGGAACATTCACATTACAAATGTTATCGCTGCGGAGCTGCTACACATGTTGCAACTACATGCAGATTCAAGGATGCCAAGTGTCATGCTTGTAGTAAAATGGGCCACCTACAAAAAGTCCACCCAGAGAGAGGCAGTAAATCGCTTGAGAGACAGAGCAAAGAATGCCTATAGAGTACAAATGCAGGAGTCTTCTGAGGATTCGGATGAACAATTTCCTGGCCGAAATTTAAAAATATATAAAATAGGCTCTAATCTGGCTGCATTCACAGTTCAGGTTGTTGTAAATGGAAAGGAACTGACTATGGACTTGGACACAGGTGCAGCTGTATCAGTGATTTCTTTGACAGACTGGAAACGCCTTAAAATACTTAGGCCAATAATACAGACAACAGCGAGACTGCAGACATATTCTAAAGAGCTGTTAATATGAGTGGGTTGTGTGACAGTCACAGTTACATTCAACAAGTGTAAGAAGAAATTACCTCTCTATATCTTAGAGAATGGAGGACCTCCACTTTTTGGTAGGGAGTGGATAAGGGCTCTCGGGATGCCTCAAGTGCATAAGTATCCATGTCACGTGTTGAATGAAAATCAGACCAGACTTGACTGGATTAGGGAATTACAGGAAAAGTATGCACCAGTGTTTGATGGCCAATTAGGGATTGTAAAGGGACAACAAGTTTCCTTAGAATTAAAGGAAGGAGCAACACCGAAATTTTTTAAAGCAAGAAGTGTGCCTTTTTGCTCTAAGGGCTGGAGTGGAGGCAGAACTGAGGAGATTAGAGGAACTGAAAATCATCTCCCGGGTTCACAATAGTGAGTGGGCTTCGCCCATTGTTCCTGTGAGAAAACAAAATGGGGAGATACGGATTTGTGGGGATTTCTGCATGGCTCTTAACACACAGCTTAAAATAGATAAGTATCCCCTTCCTAGGGTAGATGATATTTTTGCATCACTGGCAGGTGGCCAGCAATTCACCAAAACTGACTTGAAAAATGCATACCTACAGTTATCTGTACATCCAGATGCTCGACCACTACTTACGATTAATACCCATCGGGGGCTATTCAGGTATAACCGTATGGCTTTTGGCATTTCAACTGCACCAGCTGTCTGGCAGCGAACAATGGACAAGCTGTTAGCTGGAATTCCTGGGACACAGTGCCTGTTAGATGACATGCTGGTGACGGGTAAATCAGAGGAGGAACATAAACAGAATGTAGAGGCAGTTTTGCAAAGACTTATGGAATATGAATTGTAAGTGAATTTGGATAAATGCCAATTCATGCAGGATCGTCTTGAATTTTGTGCTCATGTAATTGACAAACATGGGCTGCATACAACAGATGAGAAGGTCAAGGCATTACAGGATGCTCCAACTCCACAAAATGTGACACAACTAAGGTCCTATCTTAGTCTGTTAAATTATTACAACCGTTTTTTGCCAAATTTAGCTCATGTCCTGTACACTTTACATTGTCTTCTAGAGAGTAAACGGCAATGGCGCTGGACAGTAGAATGTGCTTCAGCTTTCCATAAGTCAAAGGAACTAGTTCGTAGTTCATGTCTTTTAGTACACTACGACTTGGAAAAGCCTGTTTCCATTGCTAGTGATGCATCACCTTACAGACTGGGAGCAGTCCTGTCTCATTCCATGCCTGATGGGACAGACAGGCCAGTGGCTTTTGCCTCTAGATCACTCACAGCTGCAGAAAAAAAATCTATTCTCAAATAGATAAAGAGGCTCTGGCAATAGTATGGGCAGTAAAGAAATTCCATCTTTTTATATATGGTCGACCCTTCACACTGCTTATGGACCATAAACCTCTATTGACAATTTTTAACCCACAGAAAGGTATTTCAATCACGACAGCAGCAAGACTTCAGAGGTATGCCTTAACTATGGGGGCTTATCAGTATCAGATACAATATCGTCCAAACGCTCTGCATTCTAATGCGGATGCATTCTCTTGACTTCCATCGAAAATGGATTCTCAATTAACTACCACAGAAAGATCTACAATATATTTTAGTGAGGTGATAACAGCCAGAGTAATATCACAGGAGACAGCCAAGGACTCTTTGCTGAGGGAAATACTTGTTTTTGTATGCAAGGGTTGGCCACTAAAGACTCCAATACATCTCAAGTCCTTCCAAACAAGAGCTCAGGAGTTATCAATTCGAGATGGCTGCTTAGTCTGGGGAGAAAGGGTGGTTATTCCTTTTGTGTTACAACAACAGAATCTTGAAATTTTACATGCAGGTCATCCTGGCATAGTCCGCATGAAGCATAAGGCAAGAGGTAATGTATGGTGGACAACCATTGATGAGGATATTGCCCGTTATGTTTCAGGTTGCACTGGTTGTGCACAAGAACAGCGTGACTTGCCACATTGTGCCGTACAACCTTGGACCTGGCCTCTATCACCATGGCAGAGAATTCACATAGACTTTGCTGGACTAGTGGAAAATAAAATGTATCTGATTGTGGTAGATGCACATTCTAAATGGCCAGAAGTTCTACTCATGTCGCAGACCACTGCAGAAGCTACTGTTAAAGCATTACAGAAACTATTTGCAACATTTGGCTTGCCCAGAGTGCTTGTTTCAGATAATGGACCGCAGTTTGTTTCTGGACAATTTGAGGCTTTTCTCAAGGAAAACGGTATTTGGCATCATCGTACAGCACCGTATTATCCTGCTACTAATGGTCAAGCAGAACGTTTTGTTCAAACGTTAAAGGGTTTTCTGAGAAGTCTGAAAGCAGAAGGAAAGAGACCTGAACATCATTTGTCTGAGTTCCTTCTACAGTATCGAAATACACCTCATCCAACCACTGGACAACCTCCAGCATCCCTTATGTTAGGCCGTGAACGCAGGACAAAGTTGGATCTGCTAAAACCAGAGATTCAACAAAGGGTCATCCAGCAACAATCGAAGATGCAAGTCGGAAAAGCAGGCAGTTGTTACCAGACAGGGGATTCGGTTTGGATGCGTGTATATCATCAGGAGAATCGTTGGAAAGAAGCAGCGATAAAGGAAGTTCTGAGGCCGGCGCACTATAAAGTTTTAACCTCTGATGGATGTTACACATGGAGACATACAAATCAACTTCGACCACGTATAAAAGACAACCTATCAAAGTGGGTAGGACCACTCATGCAACCAGACACTGATATCTGGCATGGAGTTTGGCATGATGACATTTCTGAAGTCTGCAATACACCTGGTACAGAGGCTCATGATGTCATAGGGGATGATTTGGAGGAAATACCCCATGAAACTCAGGAACAAGAACTGCCAAGCCACAGTTCAAGTAACCATGAAGCCTGTGGTCATGAAAATACTGGCCATTCAACAAGAGAGAGAAGGGCCACAAACCGCTGGCAACCAGAAGATCCATTAAAGGACTATAGTCGGAGAAACTCCACGGTAAGAATGTGGAAATGGTATCCTAGTAGGAGTAGAATAAGCTGTCCTGAAAAAAAGATTGTAGATCTTGAAGATGATGGACAGAATGATACAGATTAAGGACACATTTTTAAATAGTTCTTTTATTATTGTTGACTTTTTTACTGTTTTGTTTTGTTTTCTTTCTTTGTGATGTATGGGCTGTTGGGCTGTGTATGAGTGTATGTATTGTGATGTATGGGCATTGGGCAGTTGGGCTGTTGTTGGCTGTGAATGGTGCACTTCCTTTCTTTTGGTTCTTTACTTCCTGTTCCTGTTGGCAGTTGGGTGGAATGTTCCGGGGATTTGAAATGGCGGCTGCAGAAACCCTGTGTAACAAGGCTGCAATATGAAGATCCTGCTATGTATGTATTAATAAAGTGAGTACTTCGTTATACAGGAATTATTGACTGTTTTATACAAAACATCACAATTTCTTTTTTTTTTTTATATTCAAGACTCAAATACACCTATAAATTGTATATAATTGTGGTTTTAATTTGTCCTGCCTTCACTACATTTATTCAGTCTCATGTCATTCCATCAACCCAGGCTAATAATAATGGCAGCCAAGGGCCACAAATAACAGCCTGCATGGTATCAGGAGCCCATTATTAGTCTTTTAATAGTTCATAGCGTTGATAACAGCATGTGTTCTTATTTTACCAACAAGGCCTTGATTTAATATTTTTGGATAGGCTTTTCAAATGATTTAATATTTTTGGATATATTTTTAAAGTGATTTATTATTATGAGGAAAACAAATTTACATTTTGTAGTATAGACATTTTGTTAGATCTTTTTTCATTTTTTGATATTGAAATATTTTGGAAAGAAAAAAAACCCAAAAGCATTTTAAAAGTTTATCCAAAATATTACAATCAGTTGGAAAGCGTTTCCAGCAATATTACATCAAGGCACATGTTTGAACTGTTGGGTATTACCTTACTGTTTATGGAGTGGTTATCCATAAATGCATGACTATAGGAAGGGAACCCCCATAGACCTATAAGACAGCATTCTAGAAGAGAATCTGATACTTTCCTTACTAAGACTATTTTCAGGACTTCCACTTATAGACTAGAACAGAATATTTTATATATTGTAGCTAGATAATGGGTGCCATAGAAAAGAGGCAGACATATTGTCTTTTCTAGGGCTCCAACAACTTACCGCATCAGCAGAGTTATCCACATTCTCTAATTCTACAAAACCCATGTGTAGAATGGAAGAAATTGGTAGTGCTTCTTTAAATCCTCTACCGTGATTCTAAAAACTGACCAGTAGATGGTGCTATTGGCCTACTTGAGAACTTTTTGCCTTTACAAAATGTAAAGGAAGACTCCAAGCACCACAAGTAGTACAGCATGGTCACAGGTATTCATAAAAGGAGGTTTTGGATCTGCTAGTTCATTTTTTGTTCTTCTGTTCCGTGAAGAACGGAATAACAGCAAAATAATATACATTTAAAATACAAAATATAGAACTTGCAATGTTCGTCTCCAGTCAGCCAAATGTAAAACTGGTGTTTTCATTGGTATTCAGGACTATACCCTCACACAGTGAGTAAGGATGTGATGGTTAATATTAGTGGGTAAGTGCTGGATTGGGTGAGAAGAAATAACACCAAAATACAATGTCCAGTAGACAATATACAGATATGCTCAAAAGTTTGCATACCCTGGCAGAAATTGTAAAATTTTGGCATTGATTTTGAAAATATGACTGATCGTGCAAAAAATATATTTTATTGAAGGATAGTGAGCATATGAAGCCATTTATCATCATATAGTTATTTGTCTCCTTTTAAAAATCATAATTATTATTATGATATTTATAGAGCGCTGTCAAATTCCGCAGTGCTTTACAATGGGTGGACGAACAGACATGTAGTTGTAACCAGACAAGTTGGACACACAGGAACAGAGGGGTTGAGGTCCCTGCTCAATGAGCTTACATGCTAGAGGGAGTGGGGTAAAATGACACAAAAGGTAAGGATAGTATTAGACTAGTGACAGTTGCAGAAGAGGAATCAGTCAGGAGCTATTAACAGTTTAATTGATACGCTTTTATGAAGAAGTGGGTTTTTAACGATTTTTTAAAGGAGTGGAGACTGGGTGAGCATCTAACGGAGTAGGGAAGCAAGTTCCACAGGAATGGTGCAGCCCTCGAGAAATCTTGAAGGCGAGCATCAGAGGTAGGAGTACGAACAGAAGATAGACGTAAGTCATCAGCAGATCGTAAGGGCCTAGACGGGACATACTTCTGTATAAGTGAGGATAGATAGGTGGGAGCAGCATTATGTAGAGATTTGAAAAAAAAACTGAATTTTAAATTGAGTTTTAGATTTTATAGGAAGCCAATGTAGGGACTGACAGAAGGGTGAGGCATGGGAGGTGCGGGCGGACAGGAAGATGAGCCTCGCCGCCGCATTCATTATGGACTGTAACGGGGCGAGTTGGGAGCACGTAAGACCACTGAGAAGCGGATTACAGTAGTCAAGGCGAGAAAGGACAGTTGAAAGGACCAACACCTTAGTCGCATCTGGCGTTAAGTAGGGGCGAATGCGCGCAACGTTTTTGAGATGGAAATGACGGGATTTGGCGATAGATTGAACATGAGGTTTGAAGGAGAGGTCGGAGTCAAAGAGAACACCTAGGCAGCGTGGTGGAGCTGATGGTAGCACCTTTGACTTGGAGGGACACAGACACTTGAGGGAGGAAAGACCAGAATTTCAGTTTTGGTCAAGTTTAGTTTAAAGAAGTGGGCAGCCATCCAGTTAGAAACAGCAGAGAGGCAGTCAGAGACACTAGTCAAGAGGGACGGGTAGAGATCAGGAGAGGACAGGTAGATTTGTGTGTCATCTGCGTCTAAATGATATTGGAAGCCAAAGGAGGTAATGAGTTTACCAAGGGAGGCAGTATAGATGGAGAACAGTAGGGGACCAAGGACTGAACCTTGGGGGACACCAACATAGAGGAGTTGGGGAGAAGAAGCAGAGCCAGAGAAAGAAACACAAAGAGCACTGGGAGAGGTAGGATGAGCACCAGGAGAGAGTAATATCTTGTAGACCGATATTGCGGAGGATGAGAAGAAGCTGTTGATGATCAACAGTGTCAAAAGCCGCAGACAGGTAAAGGAGAATTAGGATAGAGTAGTGACCACGAGATTTTGCAGCGAGTAGATCATTGGATACTTTGGTCAGTGCCGTTTCCACAGAGTGCTTAGCGCGGAAACCAGACTGAAGCGGGTCTAGCAGAGAGTTGGACTCGAGGAAGTCTGTCAATCTCGCATACACAATTTTTTCAAGGATCTTGGATGCAAAAGGCAGTAGCGAGATAGGACGATAGTTGGATGGGGAGTTAGGGTCAAGATTGGGCTTCTTTAGAATTGGGGTTACAGTTGCATGTTTGAAGGGCAATGGAAATATACCAGAGGAGAGAGAGATTGAGAATTTTAGTGAGAGGTGGAGAAAGAGAAGAAGACAGAGTACGGATGAGATGCGAGGGAACTAGATCTAGGGAGCAGGTGGTGGGGCAGGAGGACTGGTGCAGAGCAGAAACCTCTTCCAATGTAGCGGGTGCGAATGAACATAGAACAGAAGAGGGAGTGAAGTTAGGGGAAGTATTGTAAGAGGAAGAAGAAAGATGAGAGATCTCTTCTCTGATTGTAGAGATCTTATCAGTGAAGTGAGTTGCAAAGTCTGAGGCGGTCAAGTTAATGATAACAGATAATGATAATAATAATAATAACAAATTACCCAAATGGCCCTGATCAATGCCAGTCACTACTGTTCAATCACTTATTAAGAAGTGGAATTCAGGGATCTCTTGGTACCAAGCCAAGGTCAGGTAGACCAAAAACATTTTCAGCCACAACTTCCAGAAGAATTGTTCGGGATACAACAAAAAACCCACAGGTAACCTCAGAATAAATACAGGCTGCTCGGGAAAATGAGGGTGTGGTTGCTTCAAGGAGCACAATACGACGATACTTGAACAAAAATTAGCTGCATGGTCGAGTTGCCAAAAAGAAACCTTTACTGTGCCACAAAAGAGCCCGGTTACAATATGCCCGATAACACCTTGACATGTCTTACAGCTTATGGCACACTGTCATTTGGAGTGACAAGACCAAAATAGAGCTTTATAGTCACAAGCATAAGCGCTATGTTTGGAGAGGGGTCAACAAAGCCTATAGTGAAAAGAATACCATCCCCACTGTGAAGCAAGGTGGTAGCTCACTGGTGTGAGAGCTCTAACGGCAATGGGAATCTTGTGAAAATTGATGGCAAGATGAATGCAACATGTTATCAAAAAATACTGGCAGACAATTTGTATTCTTCTGCACGAAGGCTGCGCATGGGATGCTCTTGGACCCTAAGCACAAGTTGACCCTCCAGTGGTAACAGCAAAAAAAGGTGAAGGTTCTGGAGTGGCCATCAAAGTCTCCTGGCCTTAATAGCCACTTTGGGGACATCTCAAACATGCGGTTCATGCAAGACAACCAAAGACTTTGCATGACCTGGAGGCATTTTGCCAAAACTAATGGGCAGCTATACTATCTACAAGAATTAGGGACCTCATAGACAATTATAAAAGACTGCATGCTGTCATTAATGCTAAAGGGGGCTGGACACAGTATTAAGAACTAAGTGTATGCATACTTTTGAACAGGGGTCATTTCATGTTTTGTTTTAGGATTGTGCCATTCTGTTATAACCTACAGTTGAATATGAATCCCATAAGAAATAAAAGAAATGTGGTTTGCCTGATCATTCTGTTGTCTTTAAAAACTGGCACGTGTTACTCCAAGCGTATGGAAACTTTTGAGCACATCTGTGTGTATAAATTGGACTCTCAAAGTTCATAGCTTACCCTTCACCCATGTGCAGTAGACTTATTATTGTCAGGGCTAAAAGGGATACATTAATTGGGGTGTAGAAGCCCATGTTTGCCTCTGGGAGAACTTATCAACGGTTCCCCTTCTCACCTTCTAATGTCAGTCTGTAGGGTGTAATTAGTGATCCCAATCTCCTCATTTACATAATGGAGGGACTTGTATGAAGAATGAGAGAAAATGGTACTAATAAAAGGACGCTTTGCTATGAGAGGGGTACAATAGACAAATTGGTGTAATGAAAGAGAAGCAGCAAACCGGTGCAGAAGCAAGGCATTAAAACAATCTACTAAAGCTCACACCAACAAACAGGGTAAAAAATAACTTGTTTTCAATGATAATCACCAAAGGTAGGACTTGCAATAAACGGTCTATGATAGACTGGTATAAAAGGGAAAGGAGGCCTAGAATCTGATGTCTACCTAGGGATACATTCAAGGCTTTGTGGTGTACAGCAGGGCTCAACAAATCTCAATAACACGTTGTCATCTCTCTATAGTGACTAGGAGTTTTGTGCTGGTGGTTGGTGTCAGCAAGTTCAACTTTGCACCGATGCCAGCCTATGCAGTCACAAACTACAGAGACTACAAGTGCGACTGGGCCTGCTCTGTTCTGCTTGGACTCAAGAATTGACCAGTGGGCCACCCAAGGTGACTACAAAGAATGGAAAAGGCAGCTACAAGGAAGCGGTGATCTTCCTGCTCTGCTCCCTCACACCATGCTGTGATATGGCATCACTCCAGCCCAGGCATCACTAAACAGCAGGCAAGAGAGCAGAACAAGAAGAAATTGCAGATTACAAGATCATAGCAGCTCCACTGGACTCCAGGGAAAGGATCCACTACAGCTCTCACAATGGTAGGTAGGCTTGGTGGACATAAATTAAAATAAGACAAATAATACATCTGTGAGTATGCTTCTGTGTGAGTATGCGTGTCAAATCATTGAGTTTGTGTGTGTCCGAGCAGCAGCGCAACTACTGCCAGTTCAGCTACACCGGGGTCCAGACGGTGGGGGGGTCTATTGCATGGCCCATGTATTTAGAGCAACTCGATGGGTATTGCTTTATCAGGAGAGAGAGAATAAAAGGAACAGGCAGCAGGGAGTGGGCTGCTGCAGACCCACCACACATCAGCCTCAGCCTCAACCAGCAGCACCCCAAGCAAGCCACCCTCCTGCAAACAAAAAGGTAAGCTAACAGGAGGGTGGATGCACATATAAATTTAAAAAATGAAAAAAAAAGAGCAATTGAGAGAGCATATCAAAGCTGCAGGATTCTGCACTAAGAGCGGCAATTAAGTAGGACACATCAAGCAATAAGTCAGAAAAATTAAACATTGTACAGTGCTACAGAATTTGCTGGCGCTATATAAATATTAATGGGGGGAGGGGGGGGATCTACAAATTATCAAGAACTTAGGGATCTAGACGCACTATATACTAGAGCCAAGTGCTCAATTGATACTACTATCAATTATTTTCATATTATATACTTTTTTTTTTTTTTTTTTTACTTTAACAAACTTCAACATATTAAGGTATATATTAGCTCCTCCCACTGTAGTTTTTTTTTTTTTTTTAACCTTCTTCTATCTCCTCAGAGGTTCATTGAATCAATGCATCTCTTGGGGAACATTCAGCACCTTGCAGTGGGTGGAGATGCTGAACACAGGTGCTGCATAATGTGCAGCATAGGACTAGGAAGCACCTCTAGTGGCCGTCTGAGTGAATGCCACTAGAGGTTTTACTAGGCAGCAATGTAAACACTGCCTTTCCTCAGAAATGGCAGTGTTTACATAAAAAGCTTGCATGCGCAGGCTATAGATTCCAGAAACACTGCATAAGTCTGCGGTTTTAGTAACTATACAGAGTCCCTTTAAAAGGTTAGTCTTGTCCTAATTTTTTGCTGATTCCTAGATTCAAAGCTAATTTGTCAAGCCCTGGAGTATAGACTACTGAGAATGGCTTAGAACCACAACATTTTGTAGAAATAGATAAAACAAAATCAGTTACAAGACAGCTCCAAGATACCAGGGTCAGTTTTGTCCTACTTGTGCATACATGCAGCATTTGGCCTAAGCACACACAACTTGGACTGAATCTTCTCTTGTTTTTGGAACAAGGGATCCAAAGTTCTATGAACAGGGCTGTAAATAAACGCATAGCAACTGCAGTATACTGCCATTAGTTTACAAATTTGATCAGTTTATAGATTAATTTCCATTTGAAACATTCATGATTACAAATACTTTTCAGTTCTTTCACAAATCATGCAGAAACGATTAAAAAAAATAAATACTCTTTTCATTCCTACGATTTATAAGTTGTGACTGTGTAAAAGTGAATGTGAAAGCAGACTGAGGGTAGAACTAAAAATAAATAACCCGCAGCAGCAGGACTTTAGTGAATAACCCTGAAACTGTTATTCACTACAGGCAGGAACCTAATATGCAAGTGCGGCTTACCTATGGGTTACAAAAATTAAATAAAACCACTGGATGCCCTCATGCACAGCTTGTCACGGCTTACCAAACACCCACATCCAATCCGCCCATGCTCTCCCTGTTTGCCAATTTGCCTGTTGGGGACACTTCCAGAAGCAGGGCAAACCTCCACCATGATTTCCACACACTGGCTTCGTTGCCAGCATCTAAATGGAATGACATCACATCACTCCGTTTCTATTCTCCCTAGACCAGTGATGGCGAACCTTTTTGATACATGCCAACTTTTTTTTCCTTAAAGTGCCAACACGGCAATTAAACCTCAATACTGAGGTTTAAGTTTAGAAAAAACAACTTGTACAGTTGTCCGAACTAATTAACAACTTTTGTTTTAAAAGAACACAACAACAGAGTTCAATTATACAAATTTTAAATAATGATATAAATAGATAAATTTAGGCTTATATTTATTAGTATCTCCAACAAATGCAATACAGAAACACACACACACACACAAGACTGCTGAATACACACACAGACTGCGGAGTATACACACAGGGTGCTGTGAGTGGGGGTAGGGGCGGGAGGGATACTGGGTGGAGGGGAGCTGGGGTACCGTGTGTGGGGCTGGGGTAAAAGGTGTTTTTATAAAAAAAAAAAATTTTCAAAAAAGTATGCTAAATCAGTATTTTCCCCCCCCTTCTTACCTTTAATGAAGGAGGAGAGACACAGCCATCCCTGGTCGTCCGGTGGTGGCAAGCACTCCTTCCGTGTCGGGAGGGATCTGTGAAGCAGCTCCCCTGTCCTCCCGCGCGATGCAGAGCAGTGCCATGGTAACGCTCCACACAGCTTGCTTGCAGGAGGACAGGGAAGCTGAGTAGGCGCCTGCCGTTTCCGGCAGGCAGGTACCTACTCTGTATTGATGGTGAACCTATGGCCGCGTGCCCTCAGAAAGGGCCCGGCGTGCCACGCTTGCCATAGGTTCGCCATCACTGCCCCTGACCATGCACTATGGGTGGAGAGCAGAGGGACCTCCTGTGCAGTGCTGTATTTAGTGCATGACTAACAAAGCATTTGCCTTGGGCGGCAAAAAATAAAAAGCATGTGCCTTGTGTCATGAGGGCCCCAAGAACACCTCTGAGGTGGGCGGCAAGGGAGCGCTGATCCCCATGTTCTTCTTGCTCTACTTCCTTGCACGCTGCTTAGTCATGCCAGAGGAAAAAAATAAATAAAACCCCACAAGGAGAATGCAATTTTATGGATCATTTTGGGTGGTTTATTCTGGCTGTTCTGTAGCAGTTTAACTTTTTTTACAAAATCAGTTTAGCCTATTTGCATGTACTGTAGCCCAATGTGCTATGGAATGAAAACATGTAGCTTAACTGGTGGCTAATTACAAGTTAAAAACAAACACTCGCATTAGAGGCATTTTTGTTTTCATATATTTAAAGAACCTATATACAAATATACGCATAATTTATAAGAACAGAGATAGTATTAACAGTATTCTGCCTGCGGTTGATCTCTGAAATATTCAAGAACTGATAATACAAAATTTACAGACTGTCTGTATCCAATATTACAACAGTGCCTTTAAAAATAGGATCATTTTGTTTCAGGAGTCTCCATCACTGTCTTCAGCCAGAACTTCTTGATCTGTCCGACCAGAACCTGCAAGAATAGAACCAAAGAAAAGAGACCTAAACTTCTTGTTTGGAGGTGTACCAGGAATCTCCTTCTCCATCTCCTCATCTGTTTCCAAAGGAGGAGATGGGTTTTCATGGAGAGGTCGTTTAGAGAAGTTTGGACTAACGGGGGCAGGTGATGAGACACCCAGGGTGGTTTCCATGGCAATCATGTAATCAAGGTCGTCTGCCAAAAAATCATCATCAGTGGCTACTGGTGGTCTGTGGTTCTGAGACTTTGACACATTGTCGGTCTCAGATAGAGTGGCAAGAACAAAATGTACTTCCAGGACGGTGTCCTCTACCCTGAATACAGCAGGGCAGCCAGGGCTGTCAAAATGGATAGAGACTGGGTTGCCAGTAGACTCGGCGAATGACAGGAGACCCCGAAATTCCTTCAGACAGAAAGTGATCTCAGTCTGCTTCTGGAGCTCGTACACCAGGAACTCATCCCTGCTCAGGGCCAGCTCTGTCAGCATGGCCTTACTGCTGTCACTGTCCTCCTCTATGTAATTCCTCATGGTCACCCTGCCACACTGGCTGGCCATCAGTGTCACCTCAGCCAGGGTCGCCGGGAAGTGGACCACCGCCTCTGCCAGCAGCTTGGCCGGGGCTCGGAGCAGGTTGGGGCAGCTGTCCGGGCTGTACACGGCCTGCAGAGACTCGCAGTCCTGGTAGGAGAGGTTGTGCGTTTTGGTAACGCCATATTTACAGAGCAGCTGTATGACCAGGCGGGTGTTGGTGCTGCTCAGGGTGATGAGACATTTCTCCACCGTCTTGTCCAGGGAGGGCAGGGAGCGGAACACCCCGGTGACCGCCTTCATGTGGGTCTTGCAGTGGCAGGGGCCGCCCGTGGACTCGTAGCTGTGGAAGAAGAGGGGGGCGAAGGTGAAGCAGGCGTAGGCCGAGCGGGAGGAGTTGACGGAGCGGAGGTAGAGGCCATCATCCAGCGACTCCAGGTACAGCTCGTCCCCGATCCGGGACAGGGAGTGCACAGCCCGGCCGAACACCTTGACACCGGATCCGGTGATCACACACTTCATCCCCATCGCGCGGACATGTGGGGCTTTATGGGCACAGGGCGGGCGGAAGTCCGACTTTTCTGCGTTACCGGGGTAACCGCGCGCGGAGTAATGACGTTCTACCTTCCGATTGGAGGACGAGCGCTCCGTAGGGGAGTCACATGACTTGCCTGCGATGACGCTTGTTTTGACAGCTGTCCATTTTATAGCGGCTGGATAAATAGCTCTTCTAGAAGTACGGCGGCTCGGATGCCGGTTGTCAGTCTTGCAGTAATGTTCTGGTCTGTTAGCTGCATCATAGATAGATGGAAAAAACATGTTTTGGCAAAGCATCATGGGAGTTGCAGTTCTGTAAGGTTTGCAAAGCATCATGGGAGTTGCAGTTCTATAAGGTTTGCAAGGCATCAAGGTAGTTGCAGGTTTAAAACAGCTGGGGTTCTACCTGTTGTCACTCTATTCACTATACATACATTTATATATTGCATAGTGGGAATTAATGTCAAGCAACACAAGTGAGTTAGATGTTACTGTGACGGAACGCTGGCACTCTGACCGATTACCTCCGCCAATTGATGCTCCTAGTGCTCACTGAGGACTCCAACCAACACCATCAGCACTGCAGATCCCACTTCAAGCGCTGAAGCTGCGCCGGGGTCTCGCCGTCTCCACCCACCCTGGACCTAAGGCCAGGATCCAGCTCCCAGTGGGTGAACCTCTCTTTCCCCAGAGAGCGTAACAGGAACAGAACAGCTCTTACAAGAGCTCAGTGATTATAGCAAGAGAGTATGACGAGCATAGCAATCCCTTGTAGCAGATTCCCCCAATAAGAGACAGGACTCAGATTGAGGGTGAAGAAGAACTGAAGTTTTAATCAAACACTCTGCTTTTATGCACATTTTACACACATAGTACCGCCAGTGGCGTCTCTAGGATTCATTTTTGGGGGGGCACATGGTGGGCCAGGGACACAAGTAGGGGGGCATATTAAACCCCGCCCTCGCTGCAGTTTGACCCATGTTAAGCCCCGCCCGACACAATGTGTTGTGTTTTTTTTAATAATCCCTGGTGGAGGATTCACTGTTTTCCACCAGGAATTATTAAAAAAAAAAAACATTTCCCTCTCTGTATAATTCATGGCTGTGTGTATAATATCCTGGGACAGTGAGTGCTCCCTGTATAGTGCTGCTCTCTGTATAATACAGATCTGTTTGTGTATAATATCCCAAGACAGAGAGCAGCACTATACAGGGAACACTGATTGTCCCAGGATATTATACAGACACAGACCTGTATTATACAGAGAACAGCACTATAGTATTATACAGATAGCTGAGCATAAACCCCATGTCCCAATCACAATGGCCACTAATAGCACTAGCACGGCTATGGAGTTCTCACACCCACTATTTGACTGGTTCTAGACTTAGTCCTCAAGATCCACTAATATTCCAGGTTTTGACAAGGCATAAAAGCACAGCTGGGAAATATCTAAATTCTAGACCAGGGTAGGCAAGCTTTGGCACTCCAAATGTTGTGGACTACAACTCCCATAATGCTCTTACAGCCATAATGCTGGTAGACCAGACCATCAGGAGAGATGTAGTCAACAACATTTGGAGCGTGGAAAATTGCCTGCTTGAGAACTGGGTTAAGAACCACTGTACTATTCAATTAATGACAGTTGCAGGCCTTTCGCCTTTGAAAGGTCTAAATTAGGGACTGAGAGGGAGGGGGTGTGTATGTGAAACAATTATCTTCAAGGACAATGGACCTGCCCACAAAGTGGCATCATGCTGGCACACATATATACCAGGATGACAGGCTACCCATGCACTGAGCAAAGCTGATGGACTTGCATATGAGCTTGAAGGGGCAATGCAGGCAACTTTTTCAGTGTTAAAGGTACAATATAGTGTTAGTGTATTCCTAACACTATAATGTCCCTTTGCGGCATCATCCCCCACACCCACCCCAGCATTCAACAGGTTAAGAACCCCTTTAAACAGTTACCTGATTCCGGCGCTGAGGTCCCTTGGTTCTGGCTTAGTCTCTGACTCCTCCAACATCAGCAGGAGAGGGAACTTAATTTGCATGCACGTGTGCACAATTGGCCTTCCCCATAGGAAATCCTTGAAATAATGCTTTTCTATAGGGTTTTGCAAGAACCTGGAAATACTCATGCAAAGCGGAAGGACTTCTATTGTCGTTTTATGCGGTTAAACTCCATGAAACACAGGAAGAGCCTCTAGTGACTGTCTGGTAGACAGCCACTAGAGGCAGTTTTACCCTGGCAATGAAAACATTGCAGTTTCTCTAAAACTGCAATGTTTTCAGCTGCAGGGTTGAGGAGACAGAAACAGTACACCCAGACCACTTCAATGAAATGGAATGGACTGGTGTTTATATTGTCTTTTTAAACAATTTTTTAAGAGTTTAGAGGAACAAACATCCTAACACTATCATTTTCTTTTAACTATTTAGGTTAGTGCCCTCTCCCCCTGTTTGCAATTTAAAAAGTGTTTTATTCACCTTATAGTTATCACCATGCCGGTGTTCTATCAAATTTCCCTACCCCGTTAGAAAACCCTACCCGCGTCACTTCCGGTGACGAAGCCGCACCGGAAGTGACGTTGGGACGGGGGGGTGCGCCGCCGCGCAGGCGCACACAAACGAGGTAGGGATTTTTCACTTTGCGGAGAGAGCCTAAAGGCATAGTGCGC